TAAACATCATCAAATCAGATATATGTGTCACAGTTATAGAAGTTACACGTCATATCCAAATAAAACATTGTTTGAACAGCATTCTAGAAGTTGGTCAGTCAAAAATGAAACATACATCTCTATGGATAACAACTTCTTGTTTATTGTATAGAGCGACGTTTCGATGTAGATTCTTACACCGTTATCAAGCTAAAAGTGACTACAACCAAATGATGAGAAGTATATATACATGTACATAGTATGTTTTGTCAAATAAACATATTGGGAAGAGCTGCCAGTTTGGGACTAAGAACAACAAATTGATCTAGTGATAAAACCAATTAACAAGGGGGGTGGGGTGTTAGGGTTGTAACAACCTGATAGGGTGTTTGATAGAGTCTATAGTTTGATTAGTTCTTCATATCCCAATGGTATGTAGTATCCTTGGTCTCTATTGATCAAAGGTTTGTGGCGGCTGATTTTGATGGCTTCCAAAAGTTTTCTTTTTGTGCAGTCCTGATTCTTGGTGGATAAGAGATTTGGCGAATTTGTCAAACCAGCCCCTAAAACTAAGTTAGGGCGCCATCTCAACCCTGATCAAACACGCTTAAGAACATTGCTCCAGCAGCCATGACCTAGAACATGAGCTGAACCACCTACAACATGTCTTCACGAAGCCTCAACCAGTAACCCACCAACTCATAGTCTGTTTGATTTCACTTGGGAGACCGATGAATTGCTCACTTACACAAAATCAAATAATTGCAACAAAACCAAATTTTGCAGTCACATGAAAACGACAGACCAATGAAGAACTAATCAAACGATAGACTCTATCAAAGCACCCTATCAGCTTGTTGTTACAACTGAATCCCCCCTTGTTTAATGGCTTCATCACCATTCCATTTGTTGTTCTTAGTCCCCATCTGGCCTCTCCCACTAATGTACCAGTTGTTATTCAATTACATGTTGTTGTTAATGTCAATCTGCTGATTGTCAAAACATACTACGCATATATACTTCTCATCATTTGGTTTTAGCTTGGTAACAGTGTAAGAATCTACATCCGAACGTAACTCTGTGCAATAAACAAGACGCTTTCAATAATTGTTGTACATGGTATGTTTCAAATAAAACATAGGGCCAAATACTATGTCCTTTTACGATAGATATCCCACAGTATCATGAAATTTTTGGGTTGTTTTTCAGGAGCAGTTCGAAAAAACTGTCAGCCGTTACAGCCAAAAAAGACCCTAAAACAAGAATATTTTCAAGAAATACAATAATGTTCAAATAACAATGAAAAAAAGAATTAAATAGTGCACTTGATTAACTTGTTGTGTTGTTTTATATATGTTTCTGATTGCAGAGGTCAGGAAAGAGCTAAATGTTGAAATACAGTTGTGCCAAACATAAGGCCAACTAAATCACATCGTTAATGGCTAAGTATGGGCCATGGTTTAGTACAAAGGTCAAGAAAGAGCTAAATGTTGAAACACGGTGAGTTGCCAACATAAGGCCAACCAAATCACTAAGTTAGCCAACTATGGGCAATAGTTTTGTGTGAATTTTTCATTCGCTAGCCCAACAATTAGCCAACATGATGGGCCACTGTGGAGCCGATGAGCATATCAAGTGGGCCCATCATCAGTTTGACAACAATGGAGCCAACCAAATCGTTGATTATGGGCCAACTATGGGCCAACATATCAATGCTATCTGGGATTAGGATGGTTAGTAAATTCCACTCAAGTCGGGACCTAGAACCAACGCCAAGATCTGCAATTTCTAGGTATACGATTTCTAACAGCTCAGAATCAGATTGTAGTCCCGAGGACAGATGGATCAAGATCCAACAACTTATTCCTCAAGCCCTACTCTCTCCGCTACCACTCACGACAGTGGCAGAGCCTATTGGGACTACTCACATCAGCTCAAGACTTTGACAGCAAGAACTTGGTTTCCAGATCTCATTCAAGTAATGGGAAACCAATTCTTCAGCTCCCACAACGCCAATCTATTGATACATCCGCAGACAGCAAACAAGTGCACTAAACACCAGAAGCATTCCAACTTCATGTGATGGATTGTATCAAGGCATGTCTGAATAAGAGAGGTTATTCTGCCAGAGCATTTCGCTAAAGCGGTCACGCTTGCACTACGTAACTCAACTCGTGAGCTTGTACGATGATAAATGGCACAGTTTTGTCAATTACGCTGCTAAGAAAGGATTTACAGCCAGATATGCTACACATCCTCAAGTGGCAGATTTCTTTATGTTATCTACGCAAACTAAGAATCTAAAAGGCTCAACCTTGTCCACTTATCTTGCAGCCATAAGTTCTGTCATAACTATGTGAACGGCGCCAAGTTAACAAAAACACCAGAGTTACTTCGCTTGTTACGAAGGCGTTCGATTGGAGGATCAGAAACGAAGTTTCAAGCTCCAGCCTGGGATCTAAATATAGTGCTCCAACACCTCACTAGTGAGGCTTATGAACCATTGCTATCTACATCGTTTGAATCACTGACCCACAAAACCTTATTCCTGTTAGCGCAAGCTACGGCCGCCAGGATGTCAGAGATTCACGCTTTGGATTACGAGAGAATACGCTTTGATGATATTCATAACATCGCTCATCTGGGACTTCGCTGGGATTTTATAGCGAAAAACCAACTGCCAGGTCAACCAGACAGATTATTTCACGTCCCAGCTCTCTCATCCATACTTGGACTGCATGATACGATGGATCTATCACTATGCCCAGTGAGGGCACTGAAAATTTATCTCCAACGATCCAAACAGAGCAGAGGGAAATTCAAGAGATTATTTATCCCTATATCTACAGCTACGCAGACGGAAGTCTCACGTACTACGATCTCTATCTGGATCAGAATTGTCATACTACGTGCCTACAAGGCTACAGGACTCGACCCTCCAAGAGCTTCTAATCCTCACGAAATTAGAGCGCTAGCCTCAACTCTCGCTCTACATGGGAATTGCTCGTTGAATACCATAATGGAGGGATGTTTCTGGAGATCCGATATGGTGTTTGCCAACCACTATCTGAGAGATATCACCACCGAGGAAGTTTCATCAATCCTTAAGCTCAGTCATATGGTCATATGCATAAATGTATTAGTTAACAAACTCTAAGGAGTTGGTTACTATTATACAGCTTAAGTTATAATTATATCTTAAGCACTATACTATACTATTATAGCTTAAATATATGCATATTTTAAGCTTAATACTTTGGTTAATTTATAAAAGTATCCACTATAAACTCACAGAAGTTTATATTATCACATTAATAGCTTCAGCTTACATTAATGTTGTATATACTTTTATCATATTCTATAAATTGTAATAACCTTTATATGGCAGCTGATAAGTTAAACAGCAGGAATTCATCAGTTCAGTGCCTTTATGAAGTTCCCATAGGGTTATTACAATCATCACAGTTCAAATCACTAATTATTAAAATCAAAGTATATATATTCCCACCTCCCTTTTTCATCGGATTCTACAAGCAATAAGCATGAGTCAGGATAAGGAAAAAATATGAAATTTTTAGGAGTAAAATTAATATTTTATACTTATCCTGACTCATGAGGTAAGTCCCTCCGTCCTCCCACTTAACACTTTGGATTTCTTCGAAAAATAAAGTGTCGGGCTCAAAACAAAAGGAGAGTGAGGCACATGGGTTCAGGTGGCCCTCGCTCCTCGCGCTTGTGGGAAGGGAGGTAACCTCGTGGTGAGTACTAATTAGTGATTTTTAATTGAAGGGAACTTCAATTGGGAGATACACGCGGTTCCACTATGTTCGCAAGAAGAAGAAGACAAGCAATAAGCATGAGCCAGGATAAGTATAAAATATTAATTTTACTCTAAAAATTTCATTTCTGAAGAAGCTACACCTGTGACTTCGTTAAATCTTTGGCCAATGTTCACAACTAGAATAAACTGACCGAATTACATCCATATTTTTGCAATGAAATATACTGTTGACATGCAAAACATTTATTAAAACGTTGCACATTTCTACAATCAATCGATAAGATAACACAAGTGATAGGATTCTTTCCAATGTACAGTAATTTGTATGTTTATTTCAAAACAAAGACACACACACAAATGATCCCTTACATAACCAATACGTATACTATACGTACACATATTCAACATTTTGAAGAAAACATCTATTGAGATGACTCCTTTGCCCGAAAGCATGTGCTCAGGTGTCAATTTCATCTGTTGATACCGTGCATGCTGATGACGTGAACACAGGCAGTTAATGTTTGTATCAAATAACGCCCACTACCCGTTATTTTTCTAAGTTTTGGTATTTTCATCAGTAAAACACATTTTAGGGCATGTCTCAAACTTAAATCCATCGGTCTACATTAGGTAGATCTTTCTTAAAGTGATATTTGTTATTTAAGTAACTGTAATACCTCTGAATTTTAAATATAAGTCAAAATGCATTTTTCTAGCATTTCCGACAGTACTTTAGTTCATATGAACATCAGAAGTATTTGATGCCTGAAATTTCATTTGAACCTGTACCATTAGATAGATGGTCCATACCCTCACATGTTATGTTTGAATATCGAATGACAAGAAATTTTAGTGGGTGTTTATAATTGCATAACTTTTCATGCATAAAATACCCAGTAAGTTGTCAGTAATTGTCAGTCTCTTTCTGCCTTAACTCTCACTTTTATGACAGGATTTGACACTTGAATATGTTGACACCATACTTCAGTATATAATTTCTTATGTATCCACGATAACTAAACCTGTCTTGTTAACAGTAAGTGGAGAAAAAACAACCAACTGACACTTGTTCTTATTAACATGGGTCCAAGTAAAGATATCAATAACCATTTTGACAGTATGAAAGACACTGTTAACATAATGTTTCAGAGTTGAAATTCCTCTTTCCTGCAACTCTATCTCCAGAATATCCCAAATCCTACCCCAAAGTGTTACCTCAGAGTTGTATCTGTGCAGGTTATTTTTGCTGAAAGATGTGTCCAACCGCTACAAGGAAATAATAAAGCTGAGAGACATTGGCCGACTGGAGAAGTCCCAGAATCACTTTTTCCTCAAAAAAGTGGATACTCTTGTCATACAGGCAAAAGGTAACTTCCACAGTAATTGACCACTGTCTACTCGGGGAAAACAAATGGTCTGTGTCTCCAAGTTGCCTGTTACGCTTGGACAAGAATCCTTTTAAAGAAATGGTGTCTCCCTGTTAACCCTTGGTCAAAAATTGTTCCGTTTCATCCTGTTGACCAATGCTGTCCATCCTATTGAAGAAATGTTCTGTGTCTCCTGTTGATGGACGATGATGGACAGTATTAATGCTGTCCATCCTATTGAAGGTAACAAATTGTTCTGTTTGTTCCTGTTGACCAATGCTGTCCATCCTATTGAAGAAATGTTCTGTGTCTCCCCGTTGATGGACAGTATTAACCCTTGGTAACAAATTGTTCTGTTTGTTCCTGTTGACCAATGCTGTCCATCCTATTGAAGAAATGTTCTGTGTCTCCCCGTTGATGGACAGTATTAACCCTTGGTAACAAATTGTTCTGTTTCTTCCTGTTGACCAATGCTATCCATCCTATTGAAGAAATGGTCTGTGTCTCCCCGTTGATGGACAGTATTAACCCTTGGTAACAAATTGTTCTGTTTCTTCCTGTTGACCAATGCTGTCCATCCTATTGAAGAAATGTTCTGTGTCTCCCCGTTGATGGACAGTATTAACCCTTGGTAACAAATTGTTCTGTTTCTTCCTGTTGACCAATGCTATCCATCCTATTGAAGAAATGGTTCTGTGTCTCCTTGGTAAAAACTTGTTCTGTTTCTTTTTCCTGTTGACCAATGCTGTCCATCCTATTGAAGAAATGTTCTGTGTCTCCCGTTGATGGACAGTATTAACCCTTGGTAACAAATTGTTCTGTTTCTTCCTGTTGACCAATGCTGTCCATCCTATTGAAGAAATGTTCTGTGTCTCCCCCGTTGATGGACAGTATTAACCCTTGGTAACAAATTGTTCTGTTTGTTCCTGTTGACCAATGCTGTCCATCCTATTGAAGAAATGTTCTGTGTCTCCCCGTTGATGGACAGTAGTTAACCCTTGGTAACAAATTGTTCTGTTTGTTCCTGTTGACCAATGCTGTCCATCCTATTGAAGAAATGGTCTGTGTCTCCCCGTTGATGGACAGTATTAACCCCCTTGTTCTGTTTCTTCCTGTTGACCAATGCTGTCCATCCTGTTGAAGAAATGTTCTGTGTCTCCTGTGATGTAATAACCCAAATTGTTCTGTTTCTTCCTGTTATCCATCCTATTGAAGAAATGGTCTGTGTCTCCCCGTTGATGGACAGTAACCCTTGGTAACAAATTGTTCTGTTTCTTCCTGTTGTAAAATCCTATTGAAGAAATGTTCTGTGTCTCCTCTGATGGACAGTTAACCCTTGGTAACAAATTGTTCTGTTTCTTCCTGTTGACCAATGCTGTCCATCCTATTGAAGAAATGTTCTGTGTCTCCCCGTTGATGGACAGTATTAACCCTTGGTAACAAATTGTTCTGTTTCTTCCTGTTGACCAATGCTGTCCATCCTATTGAAGAAATGTTCTGTGTCTCCCTGTTGATGGACAGTATTAACCCTTGGTAACAAATTGTTCTGTTTGTTCCTGTTGACCAATGCTGTCCATCCTATTGAAGAAATGTTCTGTGTCTCCCCGTTGATGGACAGTATTAACCCTTGGTAACAAATTGTTCTGTTTGTTCCTGTTGACCAATGCTGTCCATCCTATTGAAGAAATGTTCTGTGTCTCCCTGTTGATGGACAGTATTAACCCTTGGTAAAAACTTGTTCTGTTTCTTCCTGTTGACCAATGCTATCTGTCCTATTGAAGCAATGGTCTGTGTCTCCCCGTTGATGGACAGTAATAAACTTTGGCCCAACAATGTTCTGTTTAATTTTGTTTAACCTGTCCTGTTGAAGAAATGGTATGTCTGCCCAACAATAGTAGCTGTTTCCTTTTGCCTGACACAAACCACCATAAAGAAATTTTTCTATATGCCAAGAGATCTGTGATCTTTGCCTATGCTTTTCTAAGACATTGTGCATGGGAGTGTGAGCTTGGCGTAGTGTTATCTACCAAATCAGAATCAAACTGATACTAATGTTAATTTGAACATACTATACTGTGTGTTTCCAGATGGACCATTCAAGTTCACGGCCTGGCTGAAGGAAGAGAGAAACTGCTGGTTTATGTTGATTGAGGAGATGAAGGCAGGGAAAATTGTTGCCGAGGCAACCAGGGATTTAACAGCGATACATCAAGCAACAGTCAATGTGCTGCTCATCGATGCGGTCATAAGAAGGTTATTACACCCGAACCGGTTTAATAACAGTTATTTATTGAAGTATTTGAATGGACATCCCCTTCAAGAATGTTAAGTTTGTCAGGTAGAGGTGGTAGGGTTGGGTATTGCCAAAATTGAAATATATATTGCAATATATTGTGAAAGTGTAACACATGGTTTAAGGTAATGAAAATACTGTTTCCTTTCTTTTGAAACAATGTCACTGGCCACTGTCAGCACTCAGATGTGATTGTACAACAGATCAATTGAAAATGTTTCCAAATTGAGGACTTCACTCTTAAGTTTGGAACTTGAGAAAAGCATTTATAATGTCCAGATCTGTAGAAAAAGCGTCCATTTGTGCCAAGTTGGGTTAAGTTAATCCATACAACGAAAGTGCTGGGTACCAATCTAACTGTTTTTTTATTTAAATGGTTTAAAAGTCTAATGACGCAACTGTATAAGGAAATGCAATTATATGACCAATAAACATTCTGAAACCTATTAATGTATAATAATATAAAGGAAATACAAATGTTATTAGTATTTTTGGCTACATCACCAAAATTACCGATCATTGTCACGGAAATTGCCAATGGTATCGGGTGAACCGGTTCGTGAAAAGTGTACCACAATATATCGTATTGTAAAGTTCGAATTGCAATATACCGGTTAACCGGTATTATCGCCCACCTCCAATAGGTGGTCAGATCTTCCATGTCACATATTGTCTGTTCTTAGGCACACATGAATCCTATGATTTATTTGCCTTGAGGTGTTCTTGGTTTGTTAGTACCAAACATATCTTAGGGGTTTCTCAGAGAGGCAAATGTTCAGAGAAGCGGTGGGATAGCCTAGTGGTTAAAGTGCTCGCTCGTCACGCCAAAGTCCTGGGTTTGACTCCCCACATGGGTACAATGTGTGAAGCCCATTTCTGGTGTCCCCGGCGGTAATATTGGTGGAATATTGCTAAAGGCGGCTTAAGACTAAACTCACTCACTCACTAAATGTTCAGAGACCTGGGCTCTAGATTTATTACAAGATAGTCGTAAGTGCCTTATATTAACCTTTAATTATCTTGAGCTTCAAAATCAGACCTGTATCACAGGATGCTCTTACCTGATACAGACTTGTTGATGATGCTCACTGGATGTGTACAGTTCTTATGGACATATACACTTAGCCATGGTGTGTTCCAATGATTTGGGGTGGGGTAGCCTAGTGGTTAAGGTGTTCGCTCATCACGCCAAAGACCCAGGTTCGACTCCCCACATAGGTACAATGTGTGAATCCCATATTATTCCTTATCCTGACTCATGATCTTTGCTTATCTCCCTCTTCTATGCTAATGGTAGTGGAACACTTGAATCCTTTGTAGTTCCCTAAAACTGACGTAAAAGTACACCTCCCTTTTCCCGCGCAAACAGTCATGTGACCAGCCTTACTTGTCACTCTCCCCCTTTTTGCCCAAGCGGATTGTTGGTCGAGCAATGGAGTCCCGTATACAGCATATATCCTTTTTATATAGATCCTATTTATCGAAATACGCTGTGTATGGTATTTGGCTATAACCAACGTGTATTATATGTATATAGCTTGAAGAAATTCTTTGTATTTTGTGATATTTTCATCGTAATGTAACTTGTTTACATTTCATGAAATCTTGCACTGTTTGCAGATACCGGGTTTTCAGTGGCTGATCTTCACCCCCAATGCCCGTCATGCATTAAGCCATGTTCTTCCACCTTGCGTTGTACATATTACATTGGTTTATCAAATTTACAATTTAATCAATATTTGTCTTACATCTATAGACGTACCATGGATCAGGTGAGGAAGTCATCTCAAGTCACTGTTGATAAACCAGAGATAATGCCGGTAACCGTGTGTTGTCTTCTACTGCAGAAATACATAATACTAGTGATTTGCCGAGTACGTTGCAGGGGCAGTCGTCTGCTGTTGTTCGTGATTTAACTCCTTCGAGACGTCGTCATCGCAGTCTAAGAAGAAGAGGTCTTTATCGACCTCGACACAGAAGAAGTTATCTGCGTCCAGACCTTCAGTGAAGTCATCTCGTTCCGGTAAAACATCTCATCAGAGATCGTTTAATGAAGACATTGTGCCACCTGCCCGAAGCAGACGTTTTTGCTGAACCACCAATACTTCTACCTGAAGTACCTCTCAGATCGGCTACAAGAGCGATGCAGTCGACCTCCACGATGACTAGATCGTCTCCTGCAACTACAGCAGCTGTTCAGCTGTCCGATGACCAGCCTCCAACAACACAGACATCAGTCATCAGCGAAGTAGACGTAGACAATACCTCAGCGTTCACGAACGCTTCGTCCACGCCGCAGCAGTTCCAGCCCACAACGCAAAACTTTGACCTGGATGACTTTATGAGGCAGTTTACAACGCAGATGATGGCCTTGATGGAGCGTTGGATCGCCGAAGAAGCAGAACCCTACGATGGCAGTCAACGTTCACACACCCTCCGACCTGCGACGAACCTGAAGCAGCTACACCCTAGAGGTTTACAACTGCAGATGAGGTTCGCGAAGATCTTCACACTCGGAAGACTCTATCATCATGGAAGATGAAGGTTCCACGAACCTCCCAGATGCGTTTGCGAACCCTCAACGTTCGAGAACGTCAAGAAGGTCCTCTCTGAGATCCAGTCGATCCTCATCTAGATCCCGCAGCCCACACAGACGTTCGGGGGAACATTTGCAAACGAAGGATCGGAATGGCAGGGTTCGTGAAGGGAAGGTTCGCAAAAGGAAGTTTCGAGAAGAGGCAACACAGACTTCTACAGGGTTTCGCGAAACCTCAGGATCAACAGAAATCAGCAACTCAGACATCTACAACAGGCGATATCAGCATCAACAGGTTGACATCTACAGGCATCCATCTACAAGGTTCGCGAACCCTCAGATGAACAAGCAGATATCAGCAACACAGACATCTACAAGGTTCGTGAACTCTCAGATCAACAGGCAGATATCAGCAACGCAGACTTCTACAGGGTTCGCGAACGCTTAGATCAACAGGCAGGATGATGACGTTGACTCTATTAACATACAGCTGAATAAAAACAAAGCAATGATTAAAACATTCAAGAATCTGCAGTCAGAATGAAAACGGATGGTATTGTCAGCGCTTATAACTCAACAATAAAAGATCAACAACATGTGCGATCTCTACAGCTTACAGCCAGCACAACTCTACAACCTGCACGAACCTTACACCTGTAGTAGGTTCAGTTTCGGACGACAACCTACTTGATGAGGGGAATCCCTTCATCTACATGGATGCGGAGGTCTTATCCTGGGTAGCAGATGGCCTGCTGATATTGTCATTCACTCACTCACTCCAACCAAACAGCGACATACTGCATATATGCTGATGACTTCTACTCCAATATGATATCACCTATGAAGCCGATATCTCAAGTACTGGAGAACCTCAAGGCGACCTTCGTAAAGGTCTTAGGGTTAGCGCCTTCAAGAATCCTTGAAGGGACGTATAGATGATATTATTAACACTTGTCACTCAGCGTGGGGATTAGGAATCTATATCCTATCAACTAGATTCAACATCAGTATTCTTCAAGATCCATACAGACATACGTCTCGACAGCCTCCTTCGTCATGCTGGCTTATATTATCCACATTAGGAATACATGATTAATATCACTGAACAATATTTTACACTTGGAGCAACCCTTATTCAAGAGGTTTATAAGAGCGGCATAGAATTACGCTCGCTTTTACTCAACCAACTATTGCACCAGATTTTATTGAGGCCAACTTGCTACAACACCGGTGACGTCATGCTTGAAGCTGATTGGTCCAGGACAGACAACGCCTCTTACTGACAGAACAGGTGCCAGCAAGTTTACTGACTTGTAAACAAACCCGTTGTAAGGGGGAATACTTCATCTGCAGCCTTGAAAACAGCATACAACTACGGCCCGTTATCATCATGGGAATCTAATAGATGTCTAGCCTTGACAGCAGGATAAACGATGTTTATCTTGGAATTTTTCGCTGATAAAAGCCTGTATGAGTACCTGTCCCCTTCGATACTACACTGGAACCAGTCTTGCTATAAATAGGCAACGCTTCGAGGTATGCTAATCAACACAGATCGTCTGCGTATATAAGGGGAAGAATGATGTATTATCACTGCAAATTGACATTCTTGACAAGGTTGTTGTCATCGCTGATGCCTATCTCCGAGGATGAGAAGCGCACAAGGAGAAAGAAATGGCGGTGATACCCATTTTGCGGTCGTCTCTGTGAGTCGCGGCAAAGTCAAGATAGAGTTACGTCCATTGCTTGCCTGTTGCAGAAATGAAGTGTATTTTCCCTATGGAAATTCCTCGGCCCCGGGACTATTTACATGTGTAACGATGCCCACTGATGCATCAGCAGAGACTTTGCAGTGCATTCTGCCTAGACAATGCAATCTAAACGCATCAACAAGCAGATCAACTCAGCTGAACTTCACAATCAAGTTGCTCACGCAACTAGGATGGCTAGTGAACCTGATGATGTCAGAGTTGGAATCAAACCAAGATCTTCAGTTTCTGGGGATAAGATCCCAGAAGATCGTTGGGTCAAGATACAAGCCATGATTCCTCAAGCAGTCATCTCTCCGTCAACACTACGAACATCGCAATGTCTACTCGGTCTACTAACCCCAGCGCAGGACTTGACTTGCACAGGAAGGTTATAACTACATCCGTTGCAATGATTCCTGGCAAAACATCTGGACAGTGTCGACACTATCTCGCTACCAGACAATCTCAAAAACCTACTTTGGTGGACTCACAGGTCGAATGTCTGCGGAGGGACCTATTTACAAGAGCCGGCCTTTGACACACATCTTTACGCAGATGCATCGCTACAGGGATGGGGTGCGCATCTCAACAACCAAGTTGCATCAGGGAAGTGGTCCAAAACGGAACAGCATCTTCACATCAATCTGCTGGAAATGAAAGCTGTGATCAACACCGTACAACTCTGGTCGAGCTCGCTGATCAACAAAATGCTGATGGTCCACATGGACAACTCTACAGTGGCTTTCTCCATAAATCGTCAAGCATCAACAAGATCGCCAAGCCTACTTCAGCTCACATTCCAGTTGTTCAACATTACAGAGGATGCAAACATCTGGATAAAGGCATGTCACATACCCGGGAGCCAAGAACGTACTAGCAGATGCTCTTTCCCTACCACTTCGTCTGTCACCCACGGAATGGATGCTCCATCCAGAAACATTCCGGCTCATCAAAAGGGAAATAGGATCCCCATGCATAGACCTGTTTCCCACGAGGTTCAACAAACAACTACAGACGTTTGTCTCACCAGTACCAGATCCCCAAGCCTGGGCAACAGATGCACTGAGCATATCATGGGAAGGACTAAACGCATACGCGTTTCCACCTCCGATCTTACTACCGAAAGTGCTGTTGAAGATCAAACAGACACAGGCGCTACAACTGACTTTGGTCGCGCCCTATTGACCAGCGAGAGTCTGGTTCCTAGACCTAATAGAAGATTTCGAAAGTCCAACCCTCAAACTACCAGAATGGTCGAACCTACTCAGACATCCGCACACCAAGCAAGTCCACAGGAACCCAACACTGTTCCAGCTACACGTGTGGACCGTATCAAAACCTGTCTGAAGAAAAGAGGATACTCCGCCAGAGTAGCAAAAGCAGTAACCTTAGCGTTACGCATATCTACTCGCAATTTGTATGAAGACAAATGGCAGAAATTCTAACAATATGCAAGGTGGAAAGGCTTCACAGCTATGAAAGCTTCTCATCCTCATGTGGCAGAATATCTATGTCACCTTAGATATACAAGACATCTGAAAGGTTCGACACTATCCACATATCTGGCAGCCATCAGTACAGTCGTCACTATGAAGTCAGGCATCAAGCTGACAAAAGTACCAGAATTACTTGCTCTGCTGCGATCTTTTAAACTGGAGGACCAGCAAAAGAAATTCAGGGCACCAGCCTGGGATCTGAATGTAATTCTACGACATCTCATGAGTGATGCGTACGAACCTCTACGAAACAGACTACCTTCAAGCTAAAAAAACTCTGTTCCTACTTGCCCTAGCCACGGCAGCTCGAATGTCTGAGATACATGCGCTGGACTTTGGACGAACTAGATTCGACACGGGGCACCGTGCTGCAGTACATCTAGGACTAGGGACTTTATTGCAAAGAATCAACTACCTGGTCAACCAGATAGACGGTTCCATGTACCAGCGCTGTCTACGATCCTAGGATCAGAGGACACCCAGGACTTATCCTTGTGCCCTGTCAGACTCTTGAAGATATATCTTCAAAAGATTAAAACAAGGAGAAGGAAATTCAAGCGCCTATTCATCCCCTTGTTGACGGAGACATCAGTGGAAGTCTCAAGAACAACAATATCGTTTTGGATGAGAACCGTTATACTAAGAGCCTACAAAGCAGCAGGATTAGAACCTCCAAGAACTTCCAACCCACACGAAGTCAGAGCACTGGCGTCAAAACTCGCTCTGCATGGAAATTGCTCTGTATCATCAATTATGGAGGGCTGCTTCTGGAAGTCAGATATGGTGTTTTCCAACCACTACCTCCGAGACATAGCCACCGAAGACGTCTCCGGCATTCACCAGTTTGGGCCTCTTGTTGTAGCACAACAACTAACGGTTCCTCAAAGGCGCTGAGTTAAAAAACTCACCATTATCACGTTGACTTGTTGATAACCTTTACTTTGGAAAAAGCTCTAGCTTGAAAGTCCATGCGCACAGTCTAGACTAGGCTAGCATGAGTGATTAAGACTCTGTACGGGTAAAGATCTTACCTGTACATGAAGGGGTCCCAACTCATTTATGGTAAAGATCTTATCATAATCTATGGGTTGTTATAGATAACTAGTAAGAAGAAGAAGATACTAGTATATCTTAAGCCACATGAATCTAGAAGATTCACTTGTCTGAGAGAGAAGTAAGACAAGATTTTGGTCCCCCCGAGTTATAACGGAAGTTGGAAGAATAGGATTTAGGAAATGCCGTTACGCAGTTCCCATGGGGGGAGATACAGGACGTATCTATGGACAGCTGATGAATCCAGGAAGTGGCTTGACCCACCAACAATCCGAAGGTCAGGATAAGGAAAAATATGTAAATTTTAAAGTAAAATTGATATTTTATACTTATCCTGACTCATGAGGAGAAACCCTCCCAACCTCCCCGCTGGAAACACTTCGGATTTCACAGTAGATCCAGGTGCATGGGCAGAAAATCAGGAGAGAGTGACAAGTAAGGCTGGTCACATGACTATTTGCGCGGGAAAAGGGAGGTAACTCGTGGGTGAGTGTACTTTTATGTCCGCTTTAGGGAACTACAAAGGATTCAAGTGTACCACTACCATTCGCATTGAAGAGGGAGTTAAGCAAAGATCATGAGTCAGGATAAGTATAAAATATCAATTTTACTTAAAAAATTACATTTCTGGTGTTGCCTGCTTTGATGTTGCTGGAATATTTCTGAAACAGGCGTAAAAGTAAACTCAACTCACTCACTCACTCACTCACTCACTCACTCACTCACTCACTCACTCACTCACTCACTCACTCACTCACTCACTCACTCACTCACTCACTCACTCACTCACTCACTCACTCCAATGATGTGTTTTGACAGTGGCAACGAGAATGGGTCATCTCATGAGGAGAATGTGACAGCATCTGCCGAGAATCTGTGTCACTTCACGAAGTACATGTCGGAGGGTCGACACAACCTTCCCAAAGACACTGTGGACGCACTGCAGCACAGGGTGGACCCTAACATCGGGGACAGAGATCGTAAAACAGTCGAGGCCATTCTCTACACACCAGGAAGTGAGTAGCAATTTGTGTAGACCTGTTGTCAGTGTGACAGTGTGTGTAATTCGTTGTGACATGTAAATATTAGGGGCCAAAATAGGATCTTTTGTTGTCCAGTTTCCAGAAGCTGCTGGAAAGATATATGATAATAAATTCTCTCTGTGAATGTGTACATCGCCACTCCGCTGCAGCACGAAAGAGAAACACTAGATTGGGTTAAGGCACTGGGCTCATCCACCACCCACCATCCAATTCACCAATCATCAATCAGTCATTAATCAGTCATCAATCATCAGTCATGAACCAAGCCTGCCATGTGCTTTTGTTTAGCAACCCTGGATTAGTTCATGGACAGATACTTTTGAAGCCAGGCCAGTGGTGGATGAGCAAAATTGTGTCAGCTTGAATCATGGTTATAATTATGTGAAATAGGGGTCACTGTTTCGTGACTTATATTGTTTATCTGCCCTTCCCCTGCAGCTGACAGTCTACACAGGAGTGAGCAGTTGCCACCGCGTCTGTGGTGTGGGATGGGGGATGGCAAAGTGAAGGTGTTCGACGCCACAACTTGGGAACTGGAAGACAAGATAGTACAGACCAAGAACACAGCAGTGAGTTGTTGTCTCCATAACAACAGAGACACCATATTGTTCTCAATTGTATCTGTAGTCACTGTGTCACACTGAAGCCTGGAAAACCCGAAAGTAACCCACAGTCTCAATACATCACAGTCATATTCTTAGGAGCACAACATCGTGATTGAATGTTTCAATAAGAAGCCCTCAGTATACAGTCGAACCCTGTTTATCCGGACATTTTGGTTACACTCGGAAATCATCCGGATAGCGAGGCATCCTGTTAACTGGATCAAACAAGCAAAACGTACTGACGATGCATAATTGACGAGATGTTATGTATAGTACAATTACAATGTAGTTAATCCTAATCCTAATTAGCATGTGTTTTCGTTACTGATGAGATGTTCTCACACCCGCCAAATCCTAATTAACTCAAGTGACACACGTCCCTAGAGTTTTGATGGGTAATTAATCAATTCACATCGAACACTTGCGAGAGAGATTGACAATGAATACACTTAGTCTGGCGATAACATACACATGCATATGCACATGCATACAGAGCTCTCCGTCTGGATAACAGGATCATTTGTCAATGGAAATCTATATGGGAATGGTTTGAAAATTCTCCGTCCGGGTCCGAAAGAGCGGGGTCCGGCTAAGTGAGTACAATTACTGAAGGTAAGTTTCGTTTCACCGAAAAATCGTCCTGAAGGCGGGGTTTCCGGATATACTGGGTCCGAGTAAACAGGGTCCGACTGTATAAGAGATTTTGAATAAAGAGATGGACGTACCTGACCTGGCTTGTTTCATGTCATTGTAATGAAAAGGTGGATCGCCTCCGTCAGAATTGGTTTAGTTGGCCCAGACTTCAGGTTTCACATGAAGGTGAGACATGGCCTAAATGGGGCTAAAATGGTGAAAAACTGAACTTGTTTTCTACATATCAGGCCTGCCTGGTGCCAGTCGGGGAAACCCAGGTTTGGGTGGGGTCACACGGCATCTACATCATCGACACCGAGACCATCATGTGTAACAAGACGCTGTCCGAACATCAGGACCTGGTGACAGACATTGTCATCTCAAATGATAAAAGGTACAATTCTTTGTCAGTATTTCGCTTGTGGAATTTCACTTTCTGTGTTAGTATGGTTAAGAAATGGTAAGACTTGACCCAACCTACACAGTCCTCAAACTTAAAGGATTTTTAAAAAGGTCACTTCACATTGTTTATTTTCGCTCTTAATGAATCCCTGGGTATATATAATATTCACAAAATACAGTTAAAAACGGTAATATTTCATTATACAGCTTGTATTAGGAATCTAAAACGCACCTCCCTCGAAACAAAACAAAAGATTATTGATTGTCTGAATTATATTTACCATGTGTTGGTTTCTTGTTCACTGGCTTGGCCTCTTGGTTTAGGCTTAGGGGTAGCTGATTGGCCAGGTGGGTTCTCCAGTCTTGGTCACTTCTAGGGTATTTAGGTTGTTTTCATTGATGTAAAATGCTGCCATGTGAGTCCTAAAAATAGCATTAAAGTAGCATTTTTACATTTGCCAAAAACAAAACCCACAAAGAAATACATTATCTGAATGAACATATTTCCCTGATTTCCCATTTGTGAAAGTGGGTTAAAAGTTACCTATATATACAGCTGCCATGATGTTTTTACAAGGGGTCCATAGATACCTAAGTTTTATGCCAGTGCAGAGCAGTCATTTTCATTTTATTTATTGTACATTGCCTTAAAGAGAGAAAGAGTGAGATTCAACATTTTAATCATGCCCAAATACACACACACACATGCATCGCGCACACACACACACACACACACACGCACACACACAATTCACATACAATTTTAACATGGTAGGGGACCAGTCCCTGGTGGATAATTATCTGATATGACTTATTTTTGATTATGTTTTAATAATTATGTGCTCTCTCTCACCACCACACTCATATGTTGCAAGTTTTCATTTGTCCATGCCCACCCCCATCCCAATCCCTCCACACACACACACACACACACCGCAAAACACCCAACATTCCGTCTCGGGAAATAGATGACTTGGCCCTACTGGGTAACAGTAACAGTGGCTGTGAAAATATATCTCTGATCGAAAATAGGACATGAGCGCAAATTATGACATACTTTTCCATCAACTATTTCTTTATATAGCTAGCTAGTACTGGAGTGTTTATGTTGCTCCAAAACAACTACATCTTAAAACTCACCTGCAACCAGCGTCGCGTCCGGAATGCAACCCTCTCGGTCTCAGTCCCAAGTTGACATTTCGGCCTCTGTGTTTGTTTGGAATGTTGAAAGGAATGCCCGATATATAGCATCCTTATAAAGTTATAAAGCTTTGCCTATTCGTATCCATATTTCGCCAGAGGTTAGGTCTCTTTCATAGCACTTCTTTGAAAAGTGTAACGAACACAGATGACCGTGCGTGGAGGGGTTCACAAAATCCGCACGACGACAGTAAACAATCTATGCCCTTCCTCTTGTCAAATAGAATTTCCCAGGAAATGTAAATCTGTGTTGTTTACGCAGTTGGATAATCATCAAAACTCGAAGTGCAGTTGTCAGTTTCCAATACATAATCAGAACAACGCTTCATTCAAAATATTTCACTTCGTGTCACTTTCTACTCAATGGTGTACCGGTATACACTACTGAAATGTCAACACACTGAGCGGACTCTCGGGTATGACGTCACACCCACAGACGGCAGACCGCTAAAAATAGAAATATGCATACGAGTGGGCGGGGCTAAAGTGGTTTTTAGTTTTGGTGCATATTTATAATTTTTACGACTAGTTTTCGTAAATGGATGGTGCAGATGTGGTATATATTCATGTTTGAATGACATTATGTACTAAAAATGCATAGTGTTTAACCTTTTTAAAAATCCTTTAACAAACTGTTTATTCACATGACCACCCACCTGGGGCTGACGTGCCCACTTTTTAGTTTATTTCAACTCAATCACCACCCATTCACCACTTTTAAACTCACCAGTTCAACCATTCACCATCCATTCACCAATCTGTTCTCCTTTCCAATCACCACCCATTCACTATTCATTCACCAAGAAATTCTCCTTTGCTTCACCTACCAATTCACCAACCAATTCACCCATTTGTTCACCTACTATTCACCAGCCAATTCACCCTTTCATTCACCTACTATTCACTGTCCATTCCCTAGCTAAGTCACCCTTTCATTCACCTACCATTCACTGTCCATTCACCAGCCAATTCACCCTTTCATTCACCTACCATTCACCAACCAATTCACCTATTTGTTAACTTGCCATTCACTAACCAATTCACTCGTTTGTTCACATACCATTCACTAACCAATTCACCCGTTTGTTCACATACCATTCACTAACCAATTCACCCGTTTGTTCACATACCATTCACTAACCAATTCACCCATATTTTACCCTACCATTCTCCCACATACTTTTCCACCTTTCTCAAACCTACTCATTCATCATTTAGAGACAGTTCATAATTTATGGCTGCGGGTACAAAGTAAGTGACCCCCTTTGCATGTCATGTACATCATGTACAAAATCAAAGATCCCCCACCCCCCACCCCCCTTCTTTCCCATAAATTTTAAGCATAAAGTTTTAATACTTTTATATACATAATTGCTGACCTCCTAGTTCATGTGTACAAAAGTGCTGATCCCCCTACCTCCCCAGAACAAAATGGGTGACCCCCCTTAAAATCATCATCACCCCACCCAGCCATAAATTATGAACGGTCCTTTACAACAGTCTGTACCCTCTTTTAACCAGCATACATCACCACCAACAACCATTCACTGCCAAATCCCCCGGACACTCCCCTATCCGCGCCCCCCACCTACTGCACATTACGGAGTGCCACAGCATGAGTCTGTATGGTGGTTGTATTTCAGACATGCCCACTCGGCCAGTGTGTCTGGTTTGATCGTTATGTGGGAGATCCAGACTCTGACGCGGCTCAAGAAGTTCCAACTGAACGACATCACCAGCCTGAAGTCCCTAAAGATCATCGGTGACCAACTGTGGTGTGGTAAGAGAGAGCCTTACGATCATGGATGATCAGAGCAGTGATGACTCAACATCAGACCACAGCCCAAAGCTTGCTTGCATATCACACCATCAGACTTCTTGATTTTAAACAAATGAATTTCTTCTAAACTCCGAGTATTCCAACTTGGAAGCACTTCAGTGTGATTTACAGACAACTTTTGCATAATTATTAACACATGATAGATATACTCAAAACAGTATACATTCACAAAGGAAATTGTGTTTCCATGTTATATTTTGTTTTTTCAAGCCAAATGGCCTATGTCATGACATGTTTATCGAAATGTATGGTCTTTTGAAAAGTAAAATAGATGATAAACATTTAAAACATTTGTAACACATTGTGTGAGATGTGAGAAATCATCAAGTGTCACAGGCTGATGACAGACCTTACAGGTTGACCTCTAGCTGGGCTCGATTAAAGAGACGTTAACCTACTTGCACCAGGTGCAACCTGAGATAAAAACCTAGTTGCACCAGCCAAATTCCAGCTGGCTGCTTTTTTGGCAATATGTCAAGAAAGAAATATGCTTTCAAATTATTCAAAGGTTAGAAGAAAAATGAGCCCACATCATTATGCCTATAATGTTAAATTTATTGTTGATTTATTTTTCAAAAATTAACTTGCACCTGGTTCAAGTAAGACTAATAACTATAGTCTGTTTGCAGTGAAAACGTACCGATGAATGTCACTTTAAACCAAAAAGTAAAACAAATAAAGTGAAATTAAGACTGCGAATCCTCTTGATTTTACCTTGCCAATTGAACATTTTAATCTCAGAATTTTACTCGACTAAGGATAAAAGTTGTTTAACAAACGATCATAGTTTCACATGGCTATTATTGGTTTGTATTACAAGGGGGTATGCACATCAAATGAAACACCGAAAACGACAAGGGTTGTTATAAGTTAACGCGCTGCATGTGCATTTGTTTCACTGTTCCAACTACTGCACTTACCCCATTGTAATACAAACCAGTAATAGCGATTTGAATCTATGATCATTTGTTAAACAACTTTAATCCTAATTTGAATAAATTTTTGAAATTTAAATGTTCAATTGGCAAGGTAAAATTATGAGGATTCGCAATCTTAATTTCACTTTATTTGATTTACCCTCTTGTTTAAAGTGAAATTCATCGGTACGTTTTCACTGCAAACAGACTATAGGTTGCACTTTGTAATATTGGGTTGCACCAGTGTAAGTAACAAAGCACTGAATCGGGCCCTGTCTAGGTAGGCTAACAATGAGCATGAATACACACATGCATGGAGAAGAGCTTCAAATACATAAGGGGCGGTGGGGTAGCCTAGTGGTTAAGCGTTGGCGCGTCACGCCGAAGACCCGGGTTCGAATCCCCACATGGGTACAATGTTTGAAGCCATTTCTGGTGTTCCCCGCCGTGATGTTGCTGGAATATTGCTAAAAGCGGCGTAAAACCAAACTCTGTCAGTCAGTCAAATACATAAACTGACATTGACAAAACCAATTGTCCTGGTTTTGTATTCGTCTTCACGTTCCTACTGTCCCCTCTGCTGAGATATTCCTGGAAATATGATAATACTGAAAACAACCTTAGATTCATCTCATTGTATGCCGTTGTGTAATTACTTGTGTATGAATAGAGATTTGTCAGGTCAGAAATACTTCCAGTGAGAATGACATCCCATTTGCTGTTGATAATTAGTATTGTGAAAGTGATATGAGATGTTCTTCAACAGGGCTATGGAAGAGAATTGGTGTTTTGAATTTGGATGGAGAAGAGCTCCAGAGATTCCATTTCCAGAGCAATGATGGAAATGGACGTAATGTGGACCTGGATTGTTTCGCTGTCACAGATCTGGAGGTAATAGCACATTCATTGAACGTCTAAAAGCATTACCAGCACTTCAGGAACCATTACCAGCAGCTCAGGAGTAGCCTAGGGGTTAAAGCTTTCACTCCTCACGCTAAAGTCCCGGGTTCAATTCCACACATGGGTACAATATGTGAAGCCCATTTCTGGTGTCCCCGGGGGCGGTGGGGTAGCCTAGTGGTTAAAGCGTTGGCTCGCCATGCCGAAGACCCGAGTTCGGATCCCCACATGGGTACAATGTGTGAAGCCCATTTCTGGTGTCCAACGCCGTGATATTGCTGGAATATTGCTAAAAGCGGCATAAAACGAAACTCAGTCAGTCTATATGCAGGAAGACAGGCATGGTTGACCAAGTCGTTTCAGGTACCACTGCCATAGTTCAATGTCTAGGCTTGCGTCCATCCGCCATGATGTTGCTGGAATATTGCTAAAAAGCGGCGTAAAACCAAACTCAGTCAGTCAGTCTGATGTCCCCGCCTTGATATTGCTGGAATATTCCTAAAACCAAAGTCACTCACTCACTCACTCTTGTAAACTATAACTGAGCAATACTCTCAGAGAGAGTCCTGTAACAAACACACTTGTGGCAGCATGGCTACGATGGACGTTGACTGCTGCAGGTGTGGGCTGGAGTCCGGAGGGAAGGAATGCTGGTGGTGTGGGACAGAAACACAGGGTTACAGAATGCGACGATACGACTGGAGTGTCGGGGCATCAGTACACTACTGCTGTGTGACAACAAGGTAATACATCTAGAGCATCTAGGCATCAGTACACTACTGCTGTGTGACAACAAGGTAATTGTACATCTAGAGCATCTAGGCATCAGTACACTTTTGCTGTGTGACAACAAGGTAATAGTACATCTAGAGCATCTAGGCATCAGTACACTACTGCTGTGTGACAACAAGGTTATACATCTAGGCATCAGTACACTACTGCTGTGTGACAACAAGGTAATAGTACATCTAGAGCATCTAGGCATCAGTACACTACTGCTGTGTGACAACAAGGTAATTGTACATCTAGAGCATCTAGGCATCAGTACACTTTTGCTGTGTGACAACAAGGTAATAGTACATCTAGAGCATCTAGGCATCAGTACACTACTGCTGTGTGACAACAAGGTAATTGTACATCTAGAGCATCTAGGCATCAGTACACTACTGCTGTGTGACAACAAGGTAATACATCTAGAGCATCTAGGCATCAGTACACTACTGCTGTGTGACAAGGTAATTGTACATCTAGGCATCAGTACACTACTGCTGTGTGACAAGGTAATTGTACATGTAGGCATCAGTACACTACTGCTGTGTGACAACAAGGTAATAGTACATCTGGAGCATCTAGGCATCAGTACACTACTGCTGTGTGACAACAAGGTAATAGTACATCTAGAGCATCTACGCATCAGTACACTACTGCTGTGTGACAACAAGGTAATAGTACATCTGGAGCATCTAGGCATCAGTACACTACTGCTGTGTGACAACAAGGTAATAATACATCTAGGCATCAGTACACTACTGCTGTGTGACAACAAGGTAATACATCTAGAGCATCTAGGCAGTACACTACTGCTGTGTGACAACAAGGTAATACATCTAGAGCATCCACGCATCAGTACACTACTGCTGTGTGACAACAAGGTAATACATCTAGAGCATCTAGGCAGTACACTACTGCTGTGTGACAACAAGGTAATACATCTAGAGCATCTAGGCATCAGTACACTACTGCTGTGTGACAAGGTAATTGTACATCTAGGCATCAGTACACTACTGCTGTGTGACAAGGTAATTGTACATGTAGGCATCAGTACAATACTGCTCTGTGACAACAAAGTTATACATCTAGAGCATCTAGGCATCAGTACACTACTGCTGTGTGACAACAATGTAATTGTACATCTAGAGCATCTACGCATCAGTACACTGCTCATTTGTCACAAAAGGGTAATAACCTATCTTATTTGCGAAGACAACTAAAGTACTGAGTGACGATCAACTTTCCCCCATTCTTCATGAAATCCATTTCCTCCTCTAGATTTGGGTGGGCACCAAGGCAGGGACCATCTACATCTACCTCACCAACACCCACCAGTTGTGGAAGACACTGCGTGCCCATGATGATGCCGTGCGCTCACTCTGCCTTGCCGACGTTCGTTACGTCATGAGTGGTGGAGGCAGCAAGGATGGCAAGGTGGCAATATGGACGCCATCTGTCCTTGAAATATCTGACAGTTATGAGGATAATCGTCCCGTGTGAAACATCACAGATGTCAACTACTGTATATTTCAGATTGAAGATTGTTTTAAATTCATATTCCAGACCACAAGTTCAAATTCTTGTTATGTCAATGGTTGCAGCAATAGGTTTATTATTTCAATATGGCATTTTCATTCATGTCCTGATTTCTTTAGGATTATCCATATGATATTTGTTAAATGGTACATCAAGCATTGTCCATTTGGGTTTTTTAATTGATTTTGTTTCTACTCTGAAACTATGCAGCTTTTCACTTCATCAGAAAGAAAGGGCTCCCAGTTTGCCCGTTTTTGTCAGCCTCAGGTAGAGCTGGAAATAATGACAGTGTTATCTGAAAGGTGTTTGGGTTCCCTGCCAATCAAATCTCAATTTTTTTAAACAGTTTGGCATCATTTCTTTACTGCTTTCATTCCAATCAAAAGAAAACCCACGCACAACATAAATATTACATTATTGCAGATTCATTGAATTTGCTCAGAAACCACAGAATTTATGACATATTCAAAGCAATATGAAAGTTACTTCCAGAATCATGGCACCAGGAAATACTCATTATATATGTTTTATATTTACTCGAAACAAAAACTGTACCTAACAGGGTCTTGTTTAGTAAAATATATATGTATGTATTTTCAAAACATCTTTAATACTTTGTTCCCCAACTGAGCATAATTTCATTGTCAAACGAGATATATTTCATTAAGTCAAAGTATCATTTAAATTGTATTTCAAAACATAATTAATTAAATTGACCTGATTTATTACTTAATTTGATAAGTAACATGTGAATTACTTATATATATTCATGCTCATGCTGTTGATCACTGGACTGTCTGGTCCAGACTCGATTATTTACAGACCGCCGCCATATAGCTGGAATATTGCTGAATGTGGCATTCAACAGCAAACAAACTTGGTAAGGTATAATTGCCCATCAGTCGGAAAAATTTCATCTTTATTGATGTTTGAACTAAGTTTGTCAACAACTGTTTAATCTATGACAACAAAGTTAACTCGGTGTTTATTATTTTGATAAGCATCAAATGCTTGTTAAGACTAATAAAGTGTAAATACATTGTACTATAATTTTATGAGAGATTACAGTCTATATTGGCTAAATGCTTCTACTGAGGAACTGATAAAGGTTTGACAATAAGTGAATTCAGGGTTTCAACAAATACGCACACAATCAACGGCCATGATAACTGACAGGATATTTTTCATGATCAAAATATTTTTGATCAGTGTAATATTATTTGTTAATGTGTTGACACATATGTTACTGTTAAGTTTCTCAAGTTAATGTTTATATATTTGTATTGATCACATTTACAATCAATATCAAATTGTGGATTAGTTTGTCCCATCCAATACAGGCAAGTTATTTCCTGTTATTTTAGATCATGGGTGACAGGGTACATTTCATGAATGTGTGAAGGAACTAAGGATCACATATCAAAATGCCATTTACTACAGTTGAAAGTGTGATATCTGAATGTATTATGTGCATTTCTGTACCTCTTGCCATATTGTTGTATCAGTCTCACAGTGGATGAGGGTGTCTTTGGAACTACAACTGGATTCAAAAGTTGGTCAGAGGACTGGTCCATTGGATCCAAAATGGTTCATTGTCAAAAGTATTTACTGAGAGAAGCATGCATTTCTGTATATCAGTGATATTGCAGGAATATTGCTAATATTGACGTAAAACTAAACTAAACTCACTCACAGTGACGTTTAAGGTGTTCATCAAACACCCGTTCCATTCACTGCTTCATGCCAAATTGAAGCTTACATCATCATGCCTCCTTTGTTGTTTTTCTACTCTAAATTCATCCACAATGTGTTTAAAACTTACAACTGGGTGGTCAGCTCTTCTCATGGCCATCTTTCTGTTATGAAACTTATCAATATGTCAGGCTGTGAAGATCCGGATTAAAATTGTTCAGTAGCCCATGCTTGTTGTAAGAGGTGACTAAAGGGATCAGGTGGTCAGGCTCGCTGACTTGGTTGACACGTCATCGTATCCCAGTTACGTAGATCAATGCTCATGCTGTTGATCACTGGATTGTCTGGTCCAGACTCAATTATTTTCAGACTGCCGCCATATAGCTGGAATACTGGAGTGTGGCATAAAACTAAACTCACTCACTATCAATATGTCAGCCATGTCAATTTACTTCATATTCATGTTGAAATGGCTACATGATGAAATGGGTATGTATGTCCTTTACAAAAGACAAGCCTCTTCAATGTTTATATTCATAACTGGTTTGAATGGCTAGATGTGTTTAATCATAATGTTGTACTGGTAGTTATTGTGTGCAAATATGACATTCCATTGTGACATTTTAGTCACATGTTATTCCAGGTCTTCCAACCTATAAGTATCATTTCATGATGACCTTTAAAAGTGGGTCTGATTGTAATATATAATTGTTGCACTGCATACCTGGATGTGAGAGAGTAGATGGCTGGTAGCCTCGTGGTGAGAGCATTCTGTCTCCAACAGCCTGGGCCTAGATTTTCTAAGCTCTCGTAGAACTAAGATAGTTGTAAGTTAATGTTAATATATGGCACTTACGACCATCTCAACACTATGAGAGCTTCGAAAATCTAGGTCCTGGCTTTACTGAATTACAGTAGTATTGAAAAAATCTGTACAGATCCTATTCACTCACTGTGGTGACCAGTGCTCTTGTTATCAACCACTGGTTTACTTCACTTGGGAGTGACATTTATATATTTGTCCACCATGACAAGTAACAACACTGCTAACTAAGTTTTCCTGAAAAGATATCTTGTCATTTTGTTTTTCAAGTGTAAAGATCACCATTTCTTTCTGAATTTATGCATGTTGTATAATAGTTTTTCTGTGTGAGATGGTTGAGATGTATGAGGAATATCACAGATATAGAGTTGGCCAAATGTTTTCAGATCATGTGATTACTTTGAGGGCAAGTAAAATAAAAGTGCATCAGCATGTCCCTAAAATTCCTACACACATACCAGGTACACTTTTATTGTCATAATGTCAGCGAGGCAAGACTATGTTGGTGTTAGCTTGTGTTTTTTTATTAAGAATTCTTTGGTCCAATTTGGCTGCTTAGAGGAAGTCAAAATACAACAAATTAGATACTTGTAATCATATAAATCAAATCATCAATATGAAAACGTTTAGATTATGAATTTTATTGATTATTATTATAAGATTATGGAATTTTTGTCAGTGAAATTATTTGAAAAATATATATGCCAAAATGGAAGTGTTATTATGTCCTGACATTTGAGGTAGCTATTCAGAAAACAACTTCAGCAAAAAAAAAAAAAAGCAAGACTTTTGGAAGTCATAAATCAGACCTGGCAAGGCATGTGGCCATGACCTTAACATCACCAACCGTGTCAGTGGCATTCATTTGAACTATTTACTTAATTACAAGGCTGTTTTATTGTGTGACTGTTGGGCACCTGGATGTTGTATTGTGTAAAACCAGTGATGCTGCAGTAATCAACTGAAATTATTTACACTTCTGCTGATGGCAAATGACAATTGCAAGAGTGGCTTCCCTTCCATTAATACATGAAAAATTACTTTTGTATTATGAGTGGGTTTTTAATGGAACAAAATCATCATTTTCACTTTTTTTCTTGAAATTGAAAAAAGTTATCTTGTTGGATATGTAACAAATGAAAAACAGTTCGTCTCTATAGCAAAAAATATCTTACAAATTCCCCTCGCAATGTTTTTCATAAAATATATTGTTTGATAACTAGCACTGTATTAAAGGGCCAAGTTCATAGATGCATATTCTTGGTACGGGAGTAAAATGTTCCTCTCATATCAGTTTTCTTTTCAGTAATGAGACTAAGGTCATGCTACCCTCCTCCCTTTTATGACAAGGGAGGAAAAGTCTCGTTAATTTTATTATTTTTTATTTTAGAAACCAGATGACTCATTGAAATTGGTCATTAATATTACTGACATGTTAAAAACCCATCACCCTCTTAGTTACAAAGCCATGACTAAGTAGATTTAGGTAATGCAATGTGTTAATAAAAATCGTGTCCTTTGGCAATATCAATATCCACTTGAATCTATGGTATCTCCAAAATATTATTCTATGATCATTCAGTGCCATACCAGTCTTGGACAGTTTTATACCCAAATATTTCTTCCCATATAATACCGATGCACAATAGTGTAACTGAAGCAGTGAAAAAAGTCATGTTTATACCACCTCAGTTTCATAACAAATTTGCAAGAGCATAGCTTATTATGTTTCATATTTGATGCAAGTACACTTCTGTATGCATTAGGGCTGGCTATCAATATAGTTTATAGGGATCAATAATCATTAACTAAATATTGATTGAATATTGATCGATTATCGATAAATATCAGAGAGACCGCCTGCGTGGTGTAGTGGTTAGAGCGTCCGCCCGGAGAGCGGAAGGTCGCGGGTTCGATCCCCGACCGCATCATACCAAAAGACGTTAAAATATGGTACGTGTTGGTCCCTGCCTGGCGCTCGGCATTAATGGATACAACAAGGACTGGTTGGCTCGGAGTCAGTATAATGTGTCTGAGTGGGGTATTCATGCTTCACTGCAGCATGGCATCCCAGTGGGCTGGCACTATAAAACCAGCTTAAGTCTGGGCTAGTAGAAGCAGCCACACATACACATACACACGCATGCACGTCGTCATATGAGCGAAATATTCTCAAGTACGACGTTAAACCCAATTTCACCTTCACCTCAAATATCAGAGAAGTAATTTAATGCCAGAAGTGTCAAAATGCCCCCAAACTCTGAAATAAATAAATACATTTCACTTCACATGTAAGTGGTGACATGTTTATTCATGGACTACAAACAAAACAGTGGCCTGAACATATCTTAGAAGCAGCTTATGAATACAGTCTTGATTTTGTGTATTTGTGGGAGTCAATGAAAACTTTATTCGGTCACAAAAGTTTATGTATGATATTGTTGATAGCACAATTTTCATATCGATAATCATTGATAAATTTCCTATTGACGATATTTCTGATTATCGATCATTTTAGTCATTTCTATATGCAGGAGGGGCGGTGGGGTAGCCTAATGGTTAAAGCGTTGGATCGTCACACCGAAGACCCGGGTTCGAATCCCCACATGGGCACAATGTGTGAAGCCCATTTCTGGTGTCCCCCGCCGTGATGTTGCTGGTATATTGCTAAAAGCGGCATAAAACCAAACTCAGTGAGTCAGTCTATATGCAGGAAGACAGGCATGGTTGACCAAGTCGTTTCAGGTACCACTGCCATAGTTCAATGTCTAGGCTTGCGTCCATTCTTCTTGGGGTAGCCAAGTGGTTAATGCGTCCACTCGTTATGCTGAAGACCTGGCTTCCATTCCCCACATGTGTGAAGCCAATTTTTCTGGTGTCCCCTGACAACTCACTCATCGCCATAACCATGCTTGCTGGTTTCACGAAGTACTAATGGACCTGCAACATTTTGGCCTTGCTCCGACATGAGAGTATTTTATTGTGATATACCAGGTAGCTGAAATATTCAACCTCACCCTATATGCACGTTTAACTCGTTTTCGTATCTTCCACAAATGTACTTTTACATGAAAGAAATTAGTTCCATGTTTTCACATTTTATGTATTTTCTATGTTTGAAATAGACAACTCTTGTCATGAGCGTGATATAGTACAAGGGTCTTTAAAAATTTGTTTGTTTCGTGCAATATATTTTATTCCAGTTATCAGATGTTTGGAATGTTAGCTGAGAATCATTCAATAATAACTACGAATGATGCATGTTATGCCAAATCCAATTACATTTTTGTGTATTTTGAATATTCATATTCCATGATTTATCAAAATTTTATATATAGAAAGACATACGAGGGTCAGTCAAAAAGTAGTCGGCCTAACTATATTCTCGATGTCCAATGTTTGAAAAGCTTCCATTTTAGTTTGTACGAATCATTAGCAAAGCCGCATAATAAATTTCACATATGTGGGTAATGTGATTAACGAGATATTAGTCATCACAACACAATGGGGTATAATATTTCTAGAAAAAATGTAGAAAATGAAAAACGATCCGTCATTTAGTACCTCTTGGATAATGGTATGCCCTCAGATAATGTCATATAAAATATGTTAGTATAGTATTGGATGACTTCCCGTCATAATCAAGAGTCAAAGCTTTGGATTGCTTGATTCATATTTAGTCGGGGCTGTTTCTTTTAAGGACGCCCCCATTTTAGTCTTTCAAAAACATTGTGTCCAGATATTCAAGCTGGCCCTGTTTACAATATACTAAGAGTTGACACTTGTGTGACCATTCAGTATTTACTTTGAACCTTTAGCATCATGTGTGAAAAAGTGAAAACATTAGAATAAGTTATGTCCTTATGATTTCGTCGTCTGAAAGGGAGTTGGTAGTGTCTCCAAAACAAGCTGTTTCAGTAAACATGAAGGGGGAATCACTTTAACAAGCGATTGTACTTTCAAATTGCTTTTTTATGCACTTTAATATCTTAGTTTGATTCTAGCGGACGTCTGCCTATCTCAAACACACAAAATGTTTCTTGCATATTTTGTTACCTCAAGTTTGTGGTGCATTTATTGCAGATTTTGCACTTTTGGGGGGTACCAAGATAAAATTTCAAACAAAAAGGGGATCGTCAGGCTGGAACATAGCAAAACCAGTTTGCTTGAGGTTGACAGATAATATGTAGAAAAATAAAACATAAAAACAGCTGCATTTGCATCATTTACTAGGTCAGGCCGACTACTTTTTGACTGTCCCTCGTATTTGTGGATATGTGATCTGAATTATTTTAAAAGATTGTCTGTGATATGTAATTTAGAGAGGAAATTAAAGTACATACATACATAAGTTTTTGTTTTATTGTTGCATGTTTGTGCATGCTTTATTTGGGCCAGGTTTGGATGGCAAGGTGCTGGATCCTAGATTTGCCCTATTTGTGAATGGTTTGTCATCACCAGTGTTCAAAGCTAAGGGTGGGTTTAACTGACCACAAAGACCTGTGGTAGAATTGGTCCTCAGTGGTGAGTGTGTGAGCCATATTCCAGCTATATGGCAGCGGGCCTGTAAATAATCGAAACTGGACCAGACAATCCAGTGATCAACAGCATGAGTATCGATCTACGCATTGGATACAATGACGTGTCAAGTCAGCAAACGCCTGACCACCCGATTCCGTTAGTCGCCTCTCATGACAAGCATGGACACCCATATTTTGAATTTCACATGGGAACTGCACATATAACAAAATGAAAGAATTCTTTCAAAAATAACTTTATTTCGTCTAATTAGATTGCTTCATACAAGTTACTTGAAAACAAACACTTGTACTGATTATACTATTTTGATACATTCTTTCAAACAACACATTATATAATGCTATAGTGTCAACCCCACATCCAAAGAAACCTATCTGCTTAAATGAAATCAGAAAGACAATCACTATACTTCATTTCATCATGTACAAAACAAATGTAAGAAACAAAATCAAGACCTCAGTGGACCCTTGCTCAGTGTTGTTAATCCAGAAAGTCTGAATTACACACATCATTGGATTCCAGCTTCACAGGGCAGTGAGGAATTGTGTTTAAATGCAGAGCTCTCAGTGATGCCCACCTGGGAGGAAGGGTGTTACAAGATCTTGACTAGGGATATAATGACATGATATGATTCATATTTCAATATACAATATCACATATGTAACTCAACGATGGCCATGTTGAGACCAGTAGATCACCATCCAAGGAACATATGACTAGAGATCCAACCAAAGAATGTTCAGAACATTTCCGATCGTCAAACTAATGTAAGTTCCAGAATAGTATTTCTGCAATTCATTCCATACCACATAAATCCTAAACATTCAATTTAATCACTCCCAGGGCCAGAAAAGAAACACACTGAAGAATCCATACTTACATCTTTAAATGGCATATCAGATGTTATATTAACAAAATTGACAAATTTATCACTTGCTTGATTGGCATTTTAGAAGATGAACATAGAGATTTTTCTGGGTTACATCTTCAAGAATAAAAAGAAGGTGTAACCCAGAAACATCTCTATGTTCAAGTTTATCACTTGCTTGAAAGGTATTGGCATCTGGACTGGAGGTCTTACTGTAAGAATAAGAAGAACTTGCAATCCATAAGTCATCTATCCACATTAACCTTGGTCTTCGACAATCAGATCTGATGTTAGACAATATTGTTAACAGACTTTCTCTTGTGACCATAAAGTGACATTGTTTAAAGACTACTGATTTAATGGGGTTGGTGTAAACAAAGTTTCTCTTTATAAATAAGTATGTATCACTCCCTGGTTCAAGATACTTGTATTGCAGTGAACTAATACTTGGGAAAATCATCACAGCTCTAACTTGTTCCAACCGAGGTCACCAGTGATGGCCTCTAGTAGCAACACTAATGGGAGAAGTTTTTACAAACCACACAGTCTGAGGTCATATTCTGGTCTATAGTGAACAAAATAATAATCATAATACCTCCACTATATTACAGGTTGTGAAGTCTCAGTCTCGTGAAAAGGATGTCCACAATCTCATGTCAGAGTACTGAACATTTTCTGAGAAAGACATGCTTAAATCTAGATGTCCTCAATCTTTCCAATTCAAAACAGAAGGCAATCAGTGTGGAACTCAAGCTGCAGTTATTCACTACAGAGTCAAATTCATATTCTACTATAGAGAAGTATAAAGAAACAACTCACTGTCATTTCAGTAAAACTATGATTAACATGATTAAGAATAATTAAATCAATATATAACCTTTAACAGCTAAAATGTTCAGATATAAGAAACATTACAATTTGATAATCTAGTGCACATTATTTTGAAGCAAATGGATAAAAACACAAGCAATTATGTATTTGCCTCAATTCATAACATGCATAGACATTCATATAGTGCTACAAAAACAAGGTTATAATGTATTATCGCTGTCCACCCGGACTGTCGAAAATTGAAAATTTATAAATTCGATGTTTCCGGTATTGCGTAAGGAGGCAATTAGGCGTTAACACTATGGTGTTCGCCGCTCCAGGCATTTAGGAAAACAAAATACGTCATACAGTACATTCTTTATTGGGTAAGAGTTCCGCCCGTAACCCCCGCTTGAAATGTTTTCTATTTATTACGATTATTTATAGGGGTTAGGGTTTAGGTTTAGGGTTTAGATTTAGCTTAATGTAAGGTTTAGGGTTAGGTTTAGGGTTAAGAGTAGGCTTTCTATGAAAACGCCAGTATGTGACATCATTCTTTTCCTTGTTCTTCTTGTACTTGTAAGATACAAATCTAGGTAACTTTTCTCATTTCAACAACAACAGGTCAGTACTTCCGCCTGTATCTGTATCACTGAGAAGGAAATGTGACAAATCTATATAGTTAACTCAAACTCAAACTCTTTTCTCATTTCAACAACAATAGTGCTCATGTCTTCTCCCTTGTTCATTAGAGTAGAGCGGATTAGCGCAGTCTTTCTGCTATTCGCAGGTCCAAGGCAGTCGACACTCCGGGTGTTATCAGAGCAGTGTTGAGCATTGCCACTGCTTTTCGACAGTCCGGGTGTGTATTCGATAAAACATTTGACAATCACCATAGTTAAAAGACCACTATCATGCATTCATGCATTCTTATTTGTTTTCTTCATAACATGTTGTTACTTCTTTTTTTAATATATAACCCCTATTTCTGACAACTGGTCAGTGTTGCTGACAAATACATCATGTTGAAGACACTACCTAAAATGACTCACCGTCTCCAGAAATAAGACAGAGTTGCATATTGAAGACAAACATGCCTGCAGACATCCTTAACATTGTTGAAAGGAATACTGTTTACCAGGATATTTTGACTGGTTGACCAGAAGCATGCTACTAATGTCACTTTTCAGCGGATGAATACTTCCTGAGGAAATACAAAATAACTGAAAATCTTTCCATTAAGAACCTGACAGAATGTACTGGGCAGCATAATTTATACCAAAGTCTTGTGTCATACACTCAAAAACCTACAGAAGCGGATGTTCACAATACTTAAATATTGTAATTGTTGGATTGGCACCATCTTAATTATGTGCCTGCTACCAAATACATGTTAAAGGGTTGCTTCTACTGGCCAGTGGAATATTTCACAGAACATGATCATTTTCTATCAAAGTAACATGGAAGGACAATGCAGATCCCTGAGCTCATTAATAAAACCTACTGTAAATATCAACTAAGCAATGACAATTACTCATAACAGGTTTTACACTGTCATCGAACCGAGGTTTTGAATGTCTGCTTTGTCCTCCAATAAGAACCTGTAATAACCACACCAAAAACAAAGAGGGCCTAACCACAAGTCAAAATCAAGGCCTTCTATAACAAGATATTCTATTTAACCCCAAATAAACAAAACAAATTTGGGTTCTTTTGGTGCTAAGTTTCATACATCAATCATTAAACTGTGCACATAAAAAAGACTAAGAAACACTGTAATATTATGTAACTAGACAGCTATGGAAAACAAACAAGTAAAATTACACATAAATAATAATGGAAGAAAATCATCAACAAATATAACCCACAACTGCAAAATAAAATGTTAAAATTCAGTGGACAACAACTAATGATTAGCTGGTGTTTTGATTCATAGCTATACCCAAACTAAAGAAGGGTGGTTGAAAAGTTCTGAGCCTCCCCATGATGGGTTGCAACTTTAACAGTTTGCATGTGTCAAGTACTATGTTAGAAGGCATCAATGTGACCAGGTATTCTGTGGTGATGAAAATGGACAAACTGGGACACCATGCTGTCATGAGGTATTTCCAACAGCTATCTATTCAGACATGGCATCATATTCAGCAGATGACTCTCCTTGCTTTGGTTCTATTGTCACACCATCACATAGACCATTTGAGTCAGTACCTCTTACAAAACAGTTGAGACCATTCTGGGGAATGAACTGCTGGCAGAATTGTGTGGACCTCTGTTGGGACTATGTTAAAATATCATCTGCCAACTCCATCAATACTGTCCATCATAGTTGGACTCAGAACTTATCAGCCACTTCTCATATGTAATAAAAATATGATGAATGCCTTGTTTGATATCCAGATCACTAACAAAATGACAGAAGTAAAATCTTGTAAGAAATTCCACCTGCCATGGGGAAATTGCTTACAGAATCTCTGACATCTGTCCAACAAATCAGACTGACCATTTCCACCAAGCTTCCTACCAACGGGGGCCTTACATGCCAAAAGGGTCATTTGGTCCCGGGAAGATGGCAGTCCCAGCTAATTTCATTCAAAGTCCCTGAAACACTAAGGTAATGTCTGCTAGTTCCAATTTTAGCATTCATATCATTTTAGCTGTAAATATTACCCAATAACATTCAATACTATCTGTGACACCATCTCCAAGCAATCACTCACATTCAGTCCCTACCTGGAAACTTAGTATATCTGATCCAAATGGGAATTCAGACTGCTTACAGATCTATTCTTTGGGTTTAACCACCTTTGTCCACATTTGAATAACATTTGCTGCCTACTTCTATTTGCCCAGAACATTGGAAGAATACTACAAAACTTTCACGTAAGTCTGATGTGACTGTAACCTAAAATCACAACATGTTTGAAATATCATTTCAGCAGCAGGCCCCTGTAACATTGTGGTTTCATTATCATACTTTTCATTCTGGATAATAAAGAGCCAAAGACTCAATAAGAACTAAAGAAAAAACGTTTTTCTCATTTTAATGAATCAATCCCTGACTCCCTGATTAATCCCTGATTATGTCTATGGAAGTGACCTTCAGCATCAATGAAGTTAAAAGGCCATGATTTAGGGCAGTTGTAGGTGCATCTACAGCACTTGCTGCAAACAACGCACATCTATAGAACAGGGAGTTCCAGTAAGTGGAGATGTCCAGAGTGCAAGCAGTGCAGGTGTTGGGGGATCTACAGCACCTGCAGCAGACAGGGCACATCTATAGAACAGGGAGCTCCAGTAACTGGAGATGTCCAGAGTGCAAGCAGTGCAGGTGTTGGGGCATCTACAGCACCTGCAGCAGACAGGGCACATCTATAGAACAGGTTGTTCTAGTAACTGGAGATGTCCAGATTGCAAGCAGTGCAGATGTTGGGGCATCTACTGTACAGCACCTGCAGCAGGCAGGGCACATCTATAATAGAACAGGGAGTTCCAGTAACTGGAGATGTCCAGAGTGCAAGCAGCTGCTGGAAATAGTAGACAAGTGTATACATCTACACACAATAATGACGAGTATCATTTGACCACCCTCACAAGGTTCACAACATCTGGTAATAGATTGATTACACTAACATTTGTAACATCTTGAAGCACTAAATCTCTCTAGTATGTTCCTCAAACACTGAAGTGGTTTCCATTAGTGTAGAACCCCACTCCAAAACTGTTAACATGTGTTGAAAAGGCAATGTTATTGCATATCAAATATCCAATCGCAAATAATTCTTGAGAATGAAGTTTCAAAATATCAGGTTTTGACATGTATGAAATGTGTCCCGTTCATTCTGATATTATGTCCCAAGAACTGGAACAGATAATCCCTCACAGTTCATAGTATTTTTCATGGGATTAATGCCATTGAAACAGAAATCGATAATAAGGATCGAAGGGCTAGTTCAGTACCGTTCAGTAGTTACACTGTACCATGGTGATCGGTGTTCACAGTACCTTAGACAGGGATTTATCCAGGATCATAAACTAAGTGCCCCTCTCGAGCAAATTGGGAAGAGATAGAAATATTTTGTTCCAAATCTGGATTCATTCACGTTCTTATTTGTATAAGTTCAGAGGTAGGGCTATTTATCTTTATATTCTCAAATTCCATTCAATGCCATATTATGTAACCAAGTCTTGACCTATTCCCATTTCTTCTTCCTGTTAACAATGAAATACAGTTTCTTTCTAGAAAAGTGTAACATTAGCTTTGACTTACATATAGTAACATTAATTGAGAAGCTTTTATTTCCATTTGGAGAAATCTTTGTTACATTTGCTGCAGATTTGGGTCTAAATATTAGAATTTGAGATCTTGATACACACCTGGATGTATAACCTCAAAAGTACACAGCAATAATGGCAACGAGCCATGGCAATTTGTGTTCACCGGATGTAGGTATAATCTATGTACAATGTACATAGTAACCATGTTGACTACAACAAATAGAACCTGAGTACAAGGCACTAAGTGGCCATTGTAACCAGTGTTCACATGACTTAAAAAAGGGTAAAAGTAGCAAGACTTGTCTATATGATAATGACAAACAGCAGATGACAGGTTGAACAGAAGACAAAAAACTAACGTTAACTAGATTACAAAATTTAGATAAATATAATTTTCATCCAAATAGAGATCCCCTAACAGTACACTTCAGCATGACCCTGGTACCTATAGAAATCATATCACAAAACAAAATACCCTTCAGATCCTCTCAAACAAAACCAAAATTTCAAATTCTTCAACAGAGTTCATGGTTTTTACTTGGTGTCTTTGCAACAGAAACGAACTGACATACAACTATTGGACTCCTTAACAAATGTCTACACATACATTATGGCAAACCATGAGTCTGCATCACTGTATCATCTGAGTCACTGTAAGACCTGAAACCATATCGATGATATACAATTATGCTAGAAATATGTTTTACAGCAGATATTTCATCAGTTGGCTCCCTTGTTTTCAAACTGAAGTTAAGGCCAGACCAATTTTATTTCTTGTTTTACAGATTTTTGTCCTCAGAAAACCTAAAGGAGGAGGTAAAACCCTGGAGAAGTCTTTTTCTGGTTGAATACTGCCCAAAGCAATACAAAACTATTATCACTGATACCCCCAAACTCCAATAGCTTGAAGCAGCTGGACTTTATGACCTCTAGCACATGACAGCAGATGTTATTGACTTCAGCAGTACTATCTTTAAACTAACATCTAGTCTCATAAATAAACATAATTTCTAGATAAAAGTCCATAAATTATCTTAATAAAACAAACAACAATAGAGTCATTTTCAGAAACTGCAGTAATCTAGACTTGCTGAATATCATAGACTTCCATGGACCTTATTGGATGTATTTGTTTGATAACTACATCTTCGTGTCACCCTGTACACACTCAATTCTCATTTACATCGTAAGTTGTCCAGGGTATGTATTTGTTTTCACAATTATGAGCCAGTAATACAGAACTACACAATGCCCTGAGAGGTTGGCAGCTTTTGAATAAGTTCATGCAAGTATAAAGTTCAGCAAAATCTTTCACACAAAATTTACTACTCAGGAGTTAGAGGTTTCCCATTTTCCAGTGACTATTGTATATGTTATGAATGGTAGGTACCGCCACACACAGCCTTCCAAATGAGGATGTTTTTGTACTTGTTTTGACTAGTACACTTTAAGTGAGTGAGTGTGGTTTAACGCTGCTTTTAGCAATATTCCAGCAACATCACTGCAGGGGACACAGAAACGGGCCTTACACATTGTACCCATGTGGGGAATCAAACCCGGGTCTTTGGTGTGACAGACTAAAGCTTTACCCACAAGGCTACCCAACCGCCCCTGGTACGTTTTAAAACTGGTATATATAACTGACCCATGAACTGTAAACATAACTACATGGTCACATATACTGAGTGAATAAAGAAGTGATACAGACACATATTATCTGATTGATAACTGGTTACATACACAGAGCCAACACAAAATCTGCTTATAATATAGTATGACCAGAAATTATTGAGAATTTTAGGAATATGTTTAATTGGATTTCTAGTATAAACAACCTTGACCAGCTATCCAGTGCTTGGTTTCATTCAAGAGAGACAACTTCGTTAATCCTTTTCATTAGTTTGTGAAGAGTTATCTCCCTTTGGTTACTTGCTAGCAGACGACATTTTCAGTGATCCTCAGTATGGATGATTTAGAGAAGAGGAAGGTGATTTTAGAGTATTACAACAAGGACATCAGATCAGCTAAAGTGATTTCAAGTAGAACAGGCATCCCTTTGTCCACTGTTTATTGTTTTTTGAAAAATATTGCAAATGGATATGGCACTGAGCACCAGGGAGGCGCAGGTAGGCCCAGAAAATTGACTGTCGGTGACAGGAGGTGGCTTGGTATTCTTGTTTCTAAACACAAACGAAGGAGTTTGGAAAACTTAAGGCTGGATATGATTGATAGAGGAACTGTGGCTGTCTGTAAGGAGACAATTAGAACTGAGCTGCATGCAGTGGGTTGGCGGAAAAGTTGAGGAATTCCATCACCGATCATGAAACCTGAACAAAAGGAGGAAGGTTGAACTGGTGCTTACAGCATAGAAATTTAACTGGGACAATGTGATTTTCTCAGATGAAAGTTCTGTGTGGCTGTTTCCTAATACACTGAAATTCTGGACCAAGCAAACTGAAATACCTTTCAAGGCTTTGTATCAGCGCCCAAAGTACAGTCCGAAATTTAAAATGTGGGGTGGCATATCTATGTTAGGGTCCCTCTGTGTATTTGAAGGGAATATGAACAGTGAGCGGTACACAGATATTCTCGAGGGACATTTACTTCCATCTGCTCATGTGTTCTATGGAAATTTTTGGATTTTCCAGTGGGACAACGACCCAAAACATCGTTCAAAGCATTCACAGGCCTGGTTTTGGACCCAAAATATGACATTATTAGATTGGCCAAGCTATAGCCCTGACCTAAATCCAATAGAAAATGTTTGGGGACTTATGAAGGAAAGTGTCAATAAGAAAAATCTGACAAATATTGCTGAAATGAAAGAAGAGGTGGTCGAATATTGGGACAGCATGGACCACGACTTTCTAACTTCTTTGATCAGTAGTATGCCCTGCCGCATTGAAGCCTGCATTGCTGCCTATGGTGACTTGACAAAATACTAACTGTTCACCTGTCTTTGAATCTGGAGTTATGTTCTGCTAATATTCACATTTAATACGTGAGTAATGAGTGAAAAAGATAAAAAAATTACAATCTTTAAATTCTCAATAATTTCTGGTTGAACTGTACAAAAAAGATGTCATCCATTACATCACAACCAACCATTTGATTGCTGATCATCGCAAATATGTCCAACTCACTGAATGACTATGAAACCTGATCAAAATGAAAGAGCACCAACATCAATGGAAACATCATGCACAGTGGTTGAATTAGGATTTTGTGAGAGGAAGTTGGCAACCATATCACTCATGAATAACATGAATAACACTGTATTGTTGTGAAGCCTGATTTGAAATTAAAGAATATGAAAAATATGGAAACAAGCACAATAACAAATAGATCAAATTATTCACCCACACATTTTTCTTTTCAATCCAACAGCAAATTGTCAAAAGTTTCTTTTGTCACATTTAAGCATTTTTAAGGCTTCTATTTCAGTAAATTTGGAAGATATATATATACTGGCCTTGTCTTTCTTGATCTAACTCAAAATAATCCCTTCATCATACACATCAGAATAAACATATCTGTTTCAGAAACCTGAAAATCATGCAATAGCTTTTTGATTGTGCTAACTAGAAATCTTTCATTCAGAACACAGTGTCCATACAAGACAATACCATAGTTATTAACTTCTGAGTCGGTAAGTATTAAGATGCATTCATATAGTTTATTGAGATACTGAAAATTATTCCAATATATCATATATCAGCTCAGGCCATCAAGTATTTCAGTTCAGTTAAGGATACAATGCTACAAAAACAATAACAGCCTTGTCCTACTGTGTCCATCCAGCACACAGGCCCACTAGCACATCAGTTGTTAAGGGCATGTGGATTCACTTAATTCTACATGACTGCACTTTAGCACACGAAGTGTTCAGACCAAGTGAAGTCACTTGATTCTACATGACAGCACTTTAGCACTTTAGCACCAAGTGAAGTCACTTGTCAAACCTGGTGAGTGTCACTTGATTCTACATGACAGCACTTTAGCACATGGAGTGTTCAGACCAAGTGAAGTCACTTGATTCTACATGACAGCACTTTAGCACACGAAGTGTTCAGACCAAGTGAAGTCACTTGTCAAACAGTTGGTGCCAAGTGAAGTCACTTGATTCTATGTGACAGCACTTTAGCACATGGAGTGTTCAGACCAAGTGAAGTCACTTGATTCTACGTGACAGCACTTTAGCACATGAAGTGTTCAGACCAAGTGAAGTCACTTGATTCTACATGACAGCACTTTAGTACACGAAGTGTTCTGACCAAGTGAAGTCACTTGTCAAACAGCTGGTGCCTAGTTGTGGTACAGCTAAAAAACAATATACATTACAATGACAACGAACTTAAGGTAACTGGCGATCAATTTTTGTGATTTTAAGCCTTAAATTTCAGAGGAATCATGCTTGATCATACTAAGAACAAAAATATTCGAGTCAGCTATAAAACAGAGCCACTAGGCTCTGTATCTCTGAATAATGAAGCAATAGCGACAACCATGTTTAATGTTGGGCTGGAATTGTTGTTCAATTTCTAAAGGTCCTACAGCTTGGATCATCCTTCAAAGTTTCAGCATCAAAAGCCATGACATTTCAGAGATACCAGTAATACCAGAACATTGTAGTTATACCAGAAAAATGGAGGTCCTTGAACATGTATTGAAAGTAAAAGGTCAAAGCTTGACCAAAATGTTTTCACAGTGCCCCTCAAAATAGTACATATTATACCATACATAACAGTTCTGCAACATTACAAATTTGATACGGGCAGAAATGCCAGCGTAGTTCACATAAAGGACATTTTCAACATAACTGCCATGTTTATGTTCAGTCACAATGGAATTCTGAGAGCACTTTCAAGAGAAACCACAGCTTAGATCTTTCACAAACATTTTTTCGTAGTTTTTTTTGAGATATGGAAAGACAGGCAATAAAATTGAAAACATTCGCTTCCATAAACTTACTTGAATTTCACATTTTCACAATATATACATAAACAAGTTTCCCAAGATCTTTCACACTGTCCCTTTCACCCAAAACACAAGCACATAATCCTTAAAAGATAGAAATAGGCCGACAGACATGATAGATCGATGCATCAGCAATATTTTCACGATTACAGCTATTCATGGGAACATACATGGTACATGGTAGAAGCGTGCTTATTAAAATTGAAATATATGTAATATTTACTTGCCAAATCAATATTTGTTTGTATTATGTCATTAAACATTAATCTAATACTGCCATTCAATCAAGACATTTAGTGATTGTTGAGTGAGTGAGTTAAAATTTTAAGTCACATCGGCAATATTTCAGCCATATTGTGATCAAATCAGGTTATAGTTTCATAATATAGTGTTTGCTGAACAAAATAACCTGTCAAATAGTTTTGTTTTCAACGTAATATTCAGGTAATAAGGAATGCAGTGTCTTTCTATTAAAACATGATTCAACAACAACTAACAAGAAGGGTGATATTAAGACATCTCATAAAATATTTCAGAACAATATGATTTTAAAAATACCTGCCAATGAACGTCAGTAAGAAAGGGCACAAAAATATACTTGCACTGTCATTTGCACCATAGAAAAGATGGGTGACGCCATTTACAAATTCTATAGACCTTGACCATGACAGCACGATCGCAACATCCAATGTCACTGGCTGTTTCAGTGGTAGCATGGTTCATGTCTTTTCATTCATCCTTAACAATATTATTAGACAAGGTCGTCCAAATACTAAAATGTCCTACTTGCCCCAGGGTAAGTAAATTCCCACTTGCCTAAATTTCCACTTGCCCAATCTCATTTTCATCATGTTCCTCTTGCTGAATTAATTCAAAGTCACGTTTGCTATCATGAGTCAGCCACTGAAACAGGCCTAACCAAGAATATTGAAAGGCTTGTTTCCATTATTCAGGTTTTTGTCCTACTTTACTTGTGTTCATCAGTTCTTATCATTTAAATTTTCAGTTGTTTTAATACTGAAAAACTTGAAAAGAGGAAAGTAACACTGCTGTTTTCGTATTTGCCCGAGGGAAAACCCAATATTTTTCCAATTTTCCAGCACCATAATTTCAAGGGTTGGGCAGTCAGCAAGTCAGGCATTTTAACTTAACACTCCTGTTATCAGATCCATATTTAATAACAGTATCAACTGACAACTAATGTTATATATTTTGTCAGGGATTTATCTAAGATTCCAAAATAAGCACCACTGGCAACATAGCAAAAACTGGGATTTCTTCAAGCTCTTAACACTTTTAATGTCATATTCAAAATTCCAACTAAGCATCAAAGTCTATTCTTCATTATTGGTCTAATTTTCAGTCAAAAAAAACACAACCTCTTAAAAGAGATAGCAGGACTTATTAGTTAAAAGGTCACTACATGTATTTGTGAAGTTCTTTGTTGGGAGGTTTTACCATGTTGAATTACATTTTCCGCAGATACATCAGCCTCTCAGCAGGGCTAGTTAAATCCCAGTATACGTTCTCCTATAGCACTGAACTTAAGAGGGGAAAAACTGTAAGGCTGAAAAGGTCAATGGCTGACAGAAAATTAGACTAAAATAACACAGAGAGCATAATTTCTGGATAACATGATATATGACAAAAGCCATATTACTCATACTTGGTATCATGTTTCAAACGTATTGATTCTAAATGCCTGGCCATGAGCAACTCTATCAACTTACTGCATTGACCTTCCATTAGGAGTGATCAGCTCAGGTTGAATTTGAACAGATTGATGTATGAAACAGGCTCTTCCTTAACTAAGCATCCTTAATCATGTTTAATGCATCATGCTGTCAACAAAATTGCGATGACCTTCCACAAATAGTACTTGATTTAGTATATGTATTATGGATAGAGTCATGCAATACTGCCTGCCATTTACATCATGAAAGATTAAACATTTCCCACGCCAGCCATATATCATATAAGACCACATACGACAACTGCATGCATACATTTCACAATGAAACCTCAGCATAATTAGTGAATACTGGAGTTTCAGCAGCCATCAATCAATCACCATGTCTACCAGTAGACCTCATTAAAACTACCAGCAATTTTGTTTGCACTTTTGTATGTACATCATATTGTAATTGATGCTATATTGATACTCACTGGATAATGGATGTTAGAAATGAAAATATTGATTCAGTCATCATGATCATGACGATCACTGGGACTACATGTGGCCAAATAAAAAGAATGTTGTGGTTCAGATTACACCTCTTTAAAATTTAGGGTAGGTAGGATTATATTTTTATTAATATTGGTTTTTTAGGTAAATTACGAACTAATAACACATTTATCAATGTGTTTTTGTTTATTCAATCAAGCTTGAGACTTTCTCTATCACAATGACCAATGTCTGTTGGTGCCGGGAAAAATAGGTGGTATCTAAAAGCTTATTTTATTCATACCGCTTAAAAAAAATAGGATCAGCACCAGAATTCACGGGTCGGTCAGGTAATCGGACCCACATTTATTTTCGGCCTGTTTATTCTTTGATCCCTAAACTCTACTTGGGCAAGCTGGTCGGGTAATTGTCCTGATTGTGAAGGATTAGGCTACACAGCAGCTGGAAAATGTCATTATCAGTGAGTGAGTTTATTTTTATGCCGCACTCAGCAATATTCCAGCTAAATGGCGGCAGTCTGTAAATAATCGAGTCAGGACCAGACAATCCAGTGATCAACAGCATGAGCATTGATCTGCGCAACTGGGAACCGATGACATGTGTCAACCAAGTCAGCGAGCCGGACCACCCAATCCCGTTAGTCGCCTCTTACGATAAGCATGAGTTACTGAAGATCAATTCTCACCTGGATCTTCACGGGTTGTCATTATCACTATAAATCTGACAGTTCCAAATCTCCAAAATAACTAAATCTCATGACATCTTTAACATGGTTAGTGTGTCAGTAACAACTCACTGCAGTCTGTCTATATGAAATCACACAGAAAATCATTTGCACCACTACAAGTCAGCACAGCACTTTCATCCAGTCCAAATTATGCCAGCAGGTAAGGTCAGGAAAGCTCGGATTTCCTGAAGAAATGCTTCATGAGGTACTCATAGGAAGCATTGATAATGCCCCAGGAGAGAAACGACCGGGTGTAGTTGAGGTGGTATCCTCGGAATAGTTTTCTGACACTATAGCCACGTTCTTCAATGACGACCAGGAAGGTACGCCAAAACCCACGATACTCTCCTCCAAGCTGCGACTGCATTCTTGTCTTGACAACATTCAGAGGGTAAAAAAAGGTACTAATAAACGCACCCAGAACAGCACCACTTATAAAATGTTTCAAAAACTTCTCCGTTGGACTTTCCCCAAGCGGCACTAAATCATGAAGAAAGTCTCTTCCTAAGAAGAACATCACATTGCTAGGTCCGTTACGCATTAGGATTGGAGTAAGGCCTCTATAGTACTCCCTGAGTCCATAAGTACGCAGTTCATACATGGCATGAGGTGTGTTGGTAAATCTCTTGTGGTAGTTCCGATCCTGCATTAAAGTCTGAACACGCTCGAAAGGTGACAGCGTCGCTTCAGTCATCCCAGCCAACATCGCTGCTGTTGCTTGAACTGATGCTTTTGACCATGTCGGACACTGATCCATTAACATGCGCTGAAACTTGTGGTACATTCCAAACATCAGTGACAGGGAAGTTGTTTTCTGCATCAGTGGGGGGACTACACCGCGATACAAGTTGCCTAGGCCTTCCTTCTTTAACTGTCCCACAGCCTTGAAACCTGAAACAGGGGCCTGACATTTATACCACATCCACCAATAGAATGTCAAATGCATGGATGAAGATAAGGACTGAAATGGAGTCAGCTTCTCCATCAGTGGTGACAGGGACTCCCACCCTTTACTGGAGGAATGAGAAGATGGGACTCAGTAGGTCACGGTGGTGGTAGGTGCTGAAGATAGTTGAAACCCTATCGAAAGTTTGAAATTTGAAATTAACAAAACTTCAGAGGGTTAAAGTCTAAGAAAAAGATAAGAAAGTGAATATTCAAAATGGAAATTAAAAGCAACACAAGTTTGTGTGAGATATAGACTCTTGAGCATGACAAACATGACACATGACTTAAGCCACAGGCATGACATTTATATGCATGAGAGTTTGCTGTTGTATGTGTTGAGATCAGTTCATACTAACCATGTGTACAAAGGTACAACAGGGAGATAACATAAAAAGACACCCCCTGAAATGACTGAATATCCACTAGACCCTCAATACCTGTAACTTCAACATGAAATATTTAGTAACTCAAAGAAAGATAACATAAAAAGACACCCCCTGAAATGACTGAATATCCACTAGAACCTGAACACCTTCAAGACACTGACACAGGTTAACATGTTACAACAAAGTTTCGAATAATTCACCCTGAAAAATGTTACAGTTCAGTCTGTGATTTGGGAGAATGCGTAGCATGAAGAGTCCTACCTGAAATGCCATGTAGTTGCTGCCTGAACATGGCCTTGTTGATGGGAAAAGTAGCAGTGATGTTGATGACGGCTGCTCCCCAGCCGCATATGAACTCCTGGTAATCCTCCAGATTCATCTGCATTTTCACACTAACCACGTCCTCCCCTGGCATGTTGCACGACTGCTTCACAACCATGGCAACTAACCAGCTGCCATAGCAACTATAAAGGAAAATACATATATGAAAACTTATATCGCAAATCTTTGTTGCAGAAACCGCAGATTTTAGATTCCTTAATTTAACTTGTTACCTTATGCCCTTTGTAGCAACAACACAAAATCAAAATAGTTTTTCGGGCAGCAGCACACAGGCACAGTTGCTGCAGCAACAATGATCTGCACAGTTTGATGTTGGAGTGAGCATTGAACATGGTTTCATGCCACCTTCCAGCAATATCGTGATATTCTTGCTGTGTTGCATTAGAGACAAATGAGCATGATACAGCAAGTGATGCAGTCACCACTAGTGCTGGTACAGGGGTGGAAATAACTTTAAAATTGCTAGTGTACTCCGGTACAGTGGCACATGTAAAATCACTTGCCCTGATAATTTTTCCACTATTCCGGCCGTTTTCTTGTTGATTTTTAAATAAACAACATAATTAATATTGGAAAGTCAACTGGACACCGGTACAGTGTGATATACAAATTAGCTGGCCCAACAGAAAAAACACTGGACTCGGGCGTCAGGCAATGGGTTATTTCCACCCCTGTGGTATTGGCAGTACACCAAGCGATACGATTCATCACGATAGTGAAATTTCTAACACCAACTTTAAAACACCCTAAGATCAAAACAAAACCAATTTTAAAGTATTTCGACAAATTCCGCCAGCGTTGTTCAATGTTCATTCAGAAACGAGATAATTAAGTTTATACATGGACTTTGTGAATGTTAATAACATGCGAGTGCCATGTCTGACAGATCTTCACGCAAGCATTTACAAGAGAACTTTTACTTTTGAAGGGAAAATACTGACTGACTGAGTTTAGTTTTAAGCCGCTTTTAGCAATATTCCAGCAATATCACGGCGGGGAACACCAGAAATGGGCTTAACACATTGTGCCCATGTGGGGAATCGAACCCGGGTCTTCGGCGTGACGAGCCAACGCTTTAACCACTAGGCTACCCCACCGCCCCTTGAAGGGAAAATAAGTAAGCATATATTTTAATCATCAAACAAAAGTAAGTCTTTTTTTTTTACAGATATCGCGATTCGGCAATATTCAAAGTTAAACATAGATGTCATCGATGTATCGTGGCATATTTGAAGTATCATATCGGGATATACAGCAATGTAAAACTTTGTATCGATTCACTGTATCGGCGGCCCATGGATCGATGCATCGATACGCTTCGATGAATCGTCACACCACTATTCACCACATCAGACCTGGAGTTCAAACCCAATCCTAGTTTAAATAATTACACAAGAAATGCCAATTGCAAACCACTGACTGCCGTATATACTTGACACCCTCAGCAGAGATGCCAACCCCGAAGTGTTGCAAATAGTACAATTTCAAGGATCAAATTTAGTAGCTTGACCATAAAATTAGTAGTCAACCAAATACATAAAATCATGATGGAGAAAGAAAATATGACACTAATCAAGAATGAAGCTTTAATTTCACATACCTCCAACAGCAGATTACCAAATTGTTACTTGCTATGATTCTAGTTCAAATGTCATTACATTTGATGAATGGATGGTAAGTGAAGTCCGAAAATGTATTTAATCTACAAAAATGTTTTTGTTTATATATCCGAATTTTAATGAATTTTCTTAAAATTTCATAGAATTTCTAGTGCAATCATATTGGTTAAGTTTAAAATTAAGTTAAAGTAAGGATAAAATCGTAGCTACTACGATAAAATCGTAGAATTTGGCCTTTTGCCTCAGTGGCAGAGGCAAACAGTTATTTTGCATAGTCTTCATCAGGTAATCTGAGTGCTATCACAAGTAATCATACTTGTACTAAAGCCATTAACTGAATGATGACAAATGCTCAGGTATATACCATAAAACAAGACTGACAAATAGCTAGTAGTAACTGCTGTATTATATGCATTTTGCCTGAAACATTCGGATCCTTACTGTGTTTAGCATATTAACTGCACTTGATTGTACATGATACTGTATCATAACAACTGGATTTTTTTCTTAATTCGTAGTCATGACAATAGAGATGAAACAGACAGCATAACACTATTGGGTCATGCCAAAGAAATTCAGAAATTTGGCAACTTTGCAGTTTAATCGTTTCTCATATTACTGCTCAAATATATCTAACAAACATGTAAACCAACATTTAAACTAAATTATAGTTTGAAAATTAATGGAAAAAGGCAAAATACCCAACTGAGTTTGAGTGAGGTGAGTACAATTGGTTACACAAAGAAAAAATTAGGATACAAGTGAGTACATAACTCAATGACCCAAAAAGTTATCTGCAGCTCCGTTAAAGTCAACATAAGAACAACATGGCAGAATATAAGTTTTTCCTTCCAAAATGTCCATTGGTCAATAATAATAACCATTCATCAGCAAGTGCAAATATGTTTCATGCTGTATACAGTACTTAGAAACCTAAATAGGACCTTTGTTTGAGACAGATCAATTCCTCCTACAACCTTAACAGTAGAGTTTACTGATCAAATATTAATCATTAACAATTCAGTATAATGCAATAAGATCATAAAGACCACAATAATCATTACTACAGCTTGCAGATAATGTCACAGCTTTATGAACAGTAGCAATAGTTAGCAATGGTTTGAGGTCAAGATCATTGATACATTAACTACAAGCAAGAGCTGACAGAGCCGGAGGCATCAAGTCTCAGACTTACAGTGGGTTCCTTTTAGGTAAGTCACTGTCATTTGTGTGCAGTTGAGTTGTATATTCATGTCCCGAAACAGGTAGAACATCAATATCTATGAAAACTCAGGGGTTCTGACAGTGACTCAAAATTGATTTTTTTTACAGCTTGTAATCATTCCCTTCTGTAATTCATAAAGAGGTTTTATATTTATTATTATTATTATTATTATTGTTATTATAATAGTATATTTATATAGTGCACATATCCATGCAACTGGTGCATGCTCAAGGCGCTGGTATTTTTTCCTCTCGATCATTGGATGTATATCTCAACGGCACATCGTAGTATCATTCTCAACTCCCTGGGGAGTATACAACTCTTATCAGTGAAAGATTTTCACATCGTGAATTCAACATCTGACACATGATGTGTACAGACCTTTTCATTTTGTGCCATATTGGTTCATTGCAACCCACTGGGTATGTTGCAGATTACAAAATGGATAAGTGTGCCAAACGGCATTAATAAATTGTCAATAAACACCATTTACCCATAAAATTCATAATTGACCACGACCTATTCAACCCTTACAGTTCAATTCCGTAACCCTCAGGTATGACTGGACAAATTTACACAATGAGTAACAGTGTGGATGTAGCTCAGTCGGATAGCTGTTGGGATTACAATCAAAAGGTTGCGGAGACAACAGATTCTCACAAGACTGGTTGCTTGTCTTAGTGAAATGTGATCTACAGCAGAGAGAAGTTGTGGTGCTGAATTCTCTAAAGGTATCATAAATGATAATGATAATGTAACACCTGTACTAAATGGCATTTGACTACAAAGTAATCACAATCCAACTCGTCTCATGCAAATGGAAATTGCAGCTGTTGCGTGGGTGACACAACTACCGCATTATCCTTACAATACCTGTAAAAATCTATTTGGTGTCTGCTCTACATCGACTATCCGTCTATATTTTTAAACATTCCCCAATGCACGACTCCACCAAATTTATTGTCTCTTCTCCCCTGAAATGTCATCGGTAACGACACTCACGGATGCAAACCAATGTTTTAAGACACAATTGTCTATATCAGTTTCACGGTTGAACGATATTCCCAACAACAATAGCATGTATTTATATCAGGACAGGACACCTGTTCTCGTGTTTCAACTAAAATCCTGTCCTCCGTTCTCGACCTCGCAACATAACACTCAGCTCCATTGCGTTTTGACACATTGCATTCGTGCATTCAAACTCCAAGAAGTAACTATTTTATCGTGAGGATTGTCGCTACAATACATTTACAAATAACTGTTTTGTTTACCTCTACACTGTCGAGAACTGTTGAAAATGAATGTCACTGCCAATGTTGCTTCTGCTATTTTACGCCCTCTGTCAGGCAGATAACTCTGATTTACTCTTAAAACGGATTACCGCTAGGAACTGATTTTTCTGCTTGCGGAAGTGACCCTCTCGTGTTAAAACTAGTCCGGGATAAGTCGAGTTCCGATCTTCTTGGAGGTTATGGAGGGTGGTGACGAATGTTATGTAAAAGTACTTCCATTGTATCCGTATCGAGAGCCGGGTACTGGTGCGCATCCACCCTCTCCTCCAATTTCGAAGCATTTATACATTTATAATTTAACATTTTACAGGTTTTGAGTATGCAATACATATTATTTACGTAATATTTCAACTAGAGCGTGACTGCAAAGCATTAATTACTTCACTTATTTTATTGCGTTCATCTAGCATCTATCAACAACATTGTGTTGTTTATTTATCACAAAGCGTAAACAGTTTACAACGTGAATCAAACCGAAGTAACACGTGTCATTAACATTATTTAATGTCGCATGAAATATATGTAAAATAATTTAAACCTGTCTCTTTTCAATATGCCTACCTATGCAGATTATTTAGTCTTTAAGCATATAATTAAAATTATATTGCATGTAGCATAGAGGAAAGAACATTTTTTTTCAACTTAGTTGGTAAATATCTTATCCATAAACACGTGACCGATAAAATAATCAATTTGATGACGCCACATGTAATCGTAAACCAAATGGCATAGAACAGCCGGTGGACACCTTTCTAAAATAGATAAATTGTGTAAGTCAAGAACGGATTCGAAAAGAGGTGAGGCTTAATTTACTCTATCACAAACAAACTATCACCCTCCATGCAGCATGCCCGATTTCAGTCAAAAGAGCCGCACGTCAGTTCGACCCCCTCAAAAATTCCAGCTATTCCAAAAGGCCAGACCGTAAGAAAAACAGTCGCCAGAGACCAAAAGTAGCGACCTTGTACTTGATGTTTTATACTGTATTCATTTCATAGCAAATAATATCTTTAACAGTATTCTAGCAGTCCGAATCACATCTTTGCGCAGTGACTGTGTAAACGCTAAGAAACAGCCTTTCGGGTGTGTCACTTTTGACTTAGGTGTCTGTGTCCCATTGGACTGCCCCCTTGTAATCTGTACTTTTCCACAAACCGGTTTACACAAAAGAATGACAAGACAATGAGCAAAAAAGACTAATCTTAATAATATTTTGAATTATTATACAAACGCATTACAGGGAAATAACTTAAAACAAGCAGTTCAATCTTCTCAGGTTCATCACCCACAGAAATCATCCATATCCATATTAAGAAAGAAAGTCATGCAAACGAAGTAAGCAAACGGATTCTTTTCATTATTTATTTATTATTTTATTTTATTTTTTTATTTTATTTTATTTTATTTTATTTTATTTTATTTTATTTTTTATTTTGTTTATTTATTTATTTATGCCAATACACATTTGTTTCTGATTTCATTAGCTTCTCGTGGTTAAATATAACACGTCAGCACATCAGTACTAGTATTAGCCAGTTTTCATAAGATGCAAGTGGAGATGTTTACTGTAGTGTGTTTATTTGGCACCAGATGTTACAGCCACATTCATGAGACAGAATTAGTATTTTTATGCGATAGCACGTATAACATCAAATTAATACGCATCAGCATTCGTGTCTTTGTGTGGCATAATCGATAGCAGCCATTTCAGGTCTTTTCAGTAGCTCACATTCAAACGATCAATCAATGATACGTTACACATAATATACCTTATTTGGATGGTAAACACCTGCGGTGTGTGGATATATTGTTGGGACTGATGAGTGAGTGAGTGAGTATGTTTTACGTCGCTTTTAGCACTATTCCAGCAACACCACGGCGGAGGAAACCAGAAATGGGCTTCACACATTGTACCCATGTGGGGAATCGAACTCAGGTCTTCGGCGTGACGAGCAAACGCTTTAACCACTAGGATACCCCACCACCCCGTTGGGACTGACGAGTGATTGCGATACAATCCATATTGGGATATAATGTTCATCTTGAAATAATGGTTATCTCAAAATACTATCATTCTTGAAATTATGTTGTTGTTATACATTTCTCGAAGCAATGGTTGTCTCAAAACATTCACACGAACGTACTTACGAAGAAAAAAGTGCATGTTACCTAATGTCTCGATACCTAAATACTAGTAATTAGAGGAGCGTGAGGGAGATTGTGGATAAGAATATAGGTCCTAGAAGGCTGTGCTAGTCGAAAGAGTGAGTGAGTCACATCGGCAGCCATATTTCAGCCATCTCGCGACTAAAGCAAGTGATATACACTAGTGGTGGTCCGATTAATTGAAATAATCGAAGATTGGTCGCAGTGACTAAACGACCAAGCAATCGAACATGATTTCTCATAATCGAACACAAACAATTCTGGAACACTTGTTTTCATCAACAATATTTTTCACAAGGTTGGTTTTCTCTATTACATTTCATAAGCACTACAAGCTTGTTCCAAGTCGTGATTGAATTCATCTTAAAGACACCAAGACATTTATGTTCCTAACATACTAGTCCTCCTTTAAAGATGTGAAATTTTGCCCAAAACACCCAAATAATAACTACATGGTTTTTTCCTTATTTTCTTGTGCATTAACAAATTTCATAAATGACGCTAACCAATTATTTTTGATGATTGATCGGTGGTAATGATCCAATTATCAATTATGAAATTTTAACCAATTCCCAACACTAATATATACTGAAGTATAAAAACGCATCTCGAGATCAAACGTTTTATCTCCCTGTTCCGGGGCGGATACAGCTTTTTGAGAAAGGGGGGGGTGCAAACTTCATTTTCACCAGAGTTTCATTGGTCATTTAATAAACTTTCAGGACAAAGGGGGTGCGCACCCCTGCACACCCCTCTGGATCCGCCTATGCTGTTAAATAACTTGTTCCTCCTCATTAAATATCCGTAGATATGAATCAAAATGAGAACAACGCACGGATACATGTATTACAGTTTAATTGAACAACGTTCTAATTGCATCAGTTTTAAACTGCATGTATGGACATTACTGACTCATGTTTGTTCCTCCTGACATTGAAATTGTCAATCAAGATAAGGGCGGTGGGGTAGCCTAATGGTTAAAGCGTTGGCTCGTCACGCCGAAGACCCGGGTTCGAATCCCCACATGGGTACAATGTGTGAAGCCCATTTCTGGTGTCCCCCGCCGTGATGTTGCTGGAATATTGATAAAAGCGGCGTAAAACCAAACTCAGTCAGTCAATCAAGATAAAGGAAAAGAAAAAGCAGTTATTCGTCGTTTAGTGCAACCATGAATCATTCAAATTATCATATGCAGGGTATTTAAAAATATAATGAAATAAAACCAGAGTGTAAATGTTTCTCAGGTTTTCACTGATATCGACCATGGGAATCTATTGGAAAATGTTATTCCATAATAACTCTAGTACATCGTGTGCGGCATACATCGCAGCAAAGAAGTTGTTTATCCATAAAAACACGTGTTCCTCTTCATCATACCAGCATCTAAATGCTACTTAAAGAAGTAACTAAGGTACGTTTCAATGTTCACATCAATATGATTATACTCCACTTTTCAGTGGTTTTAGTTAACCACCACGGAATACAATGAATTCAGTTTTGTTTAAGTTAGTTCTCAAACCCCACTTTAAACAGAAAGACTGACTGACTGAGTTTGGTTTTACGCCGCTTTTAGCAATATTCCAGCAACATCACGGCGGGGGACACCAGAAATGGGCTTCACACATTGTACCCATGTGGGGATTCGAACTCGGGTCTTCGGCGTGACGAGCCAACGCTTTAACCATTAGGCTACCCCACCGCCCCTTAAACAGAAAGAAGCCAAAACATCAACTGTCTTTTGATGTTTACCAAATACAGATTCAGGGATCAAGCACAAATCATCAGCATATAACAATAAATATAATTCTATAAAGTCTTCACCTACCGCTATGTATTGTAGGTGGACTTACTCTTCAAGTATGAAAAATAAAAGTGGACTTAATATACAACCAATATAATCAAAATATTCTGGAATGCTAATGTTCGATAATTTCGCAGTTTATGTAGTTTTATAGAAGATATCAAGAAAAATGTTCCAGTTTTGATCATTTGCTTGGATATGACATACCATAGACGGTCTCTGTTGATGGAATCAAAGGCGTTGTGAAAGTCCCCAAATAGACATAACAAACTTAGACTACCGAAACATTTTGAAAACATTATCAGTTGTTAAGTATCCTTTACGAAAACCCTCCTGACATTCTGGGTACTTTACAATTCTACACATCCTTCAGTCTGTTGTTAAGAATATATGTAAAGATAGATTTTATGACAAATGAAAGAAGCGTCTACGTATTTATTACCATAATTTAGGTTGCCTTTCCTGTGATGACGAGAAATTATACTTCTAGATCACTGTACACGAAAATTGCCAGAATTGATAATACTGTTAAGAGGTTCGGGTAAATACGGTAACAATATATCCCTTCCATTGATATTGACATAAAGTGAATGGAGATATAGAATGTATACTTGGGTCACCACGTATCACAGTAATCCAGTTTTCCATCACGCGATCATTATTTATATTTATTAGCTAAGGAAAGCAAAGTAAAACCACCTATGTCATACTTAGGTCATTTTTGAATAATAGCACAAAATGGTAGCTTTAGTTGGCCAGCTACCCTTTGATCCAACTATGGTCTTCATATGAATATCACTTTTCGAAATATATTATATAACTCTTCAAAGTATCTTGAATGATGTTAAAATGGCCTTAGTCAGACTTAGGTTGTTTTGGCAGGAACTTATTTGACTTTGGTCTTTTTGCTTGGTAATGATTACACAACTCTTCAGAAGGAGGTATGAAAGTGAATTTGTCCACATGTTTTTGGATGCAGTGCTGCCTTGAAGAATGTCCGACTTCTCCATATTCTGGTAAATTTGAGGTGAGTTTTTGTATGTAGATGACAAAAAGCAATCCCATTTCAACAAAA